CCACCACCCAGGGGTACCTGCGGGCGGCGCATGCGGGGGAGTGCGGCACTGAGCAGGGCCGGACGCACTGAGCAGCACTGGGGGCAGAAGGACATGCACGCGGAAATGGCGGCAGGCCGAGTAGGCGAGTAGGCATGGCAGGAGGCGAAGCAGGCACCAAGGCCGGTCCCCCCCCCACCCACCCCTCTCGACGCCCGCCTCCCCAGCCAACTCACTTGCCCTTGGGCGCGTTGCGGGTCTTGGGGTTCATGTTGCGGATGGCGGCAGTCACCTCATCGTCCAGAAGCTCCCGCCTGCAGCGGGAGAGGGAGGGGGGGCGGGTGCGCACCAGAGGGGAGGCCGTGGGGCGTCAGGAGGAGGTCCCGGAACGGCGGGCGGCGGCGGGAACAATTCAAGGGGCGAGCGGGGTAATTAGAGGGAAGTGCTCTGGGCAGCTAGGCAGCAGCAGCGGCTCACCCGGCGGTCGCTTGGGCAGCTACCAGCACCACGGCCAGCAGCAGCCACGCAGAGGCGCGCATGGTGTGGGGGGTTGGCGTCTGCAGGCAGGGGCGGGCGGCGGCGGCGGCGGCAACGGGCGGCGGTGAGGAGCGGCGGGGCATTTTCAGGTCCTGTCGAACGCGGCCATTTGCTGTTCGCTGGGGCCCGGGGAGGTGCGGATGTGGTTGCCAACTCGAAATGTGTTGGGTTGGAGCGAGATAAGGACAGGCAGGGGGGGACATGCCGGGCCTCGTGCCAGGCCCCCAGGGCCTTGCCATGCGGCGATGCAACACCACGTTGTTGGATCCGGCCGGGGCGACCGAAGAACCGGCCCACCGTGAGGGATTCGTGAGCGGCGCAAGTGCATGCGGCATGAGGCTGAAAGCTGCTCCCCAGCCCCTCGACCACTCTGCGAACATCCCTGCAAGCGTAATCCCGTGTCGAACGCGGCACCAAGGCGCCCCAGGGCCGGGGGGCGGAGGACGGGAGGGCTGCCCAACTCACCACGCTTGCAGGCAGATCTGGGGCCAGAACCCGAGTCTTCGAGCCGGTCAGTCGGACCAGGGGCGATAGCGGGAGGTTTTGTGGGTCGCAGATGGCGCAAGGGGGAGAACCTAGCACCGCACGCCCAGCAGGATTCACTGCCTCTCTCAATCTTCGGGTGCCCTGGCGATCGGGGGCAGAGGAGCGCTTGCGCGCATAATTGGGTGGACATCCACCTCAACAAAGCCGGCAATGCTGATTTTTGTAAGGACGAACACGTTCGCCCCCTGCGCATCTGTTTGGCGCCCATTCATCCTCGAGGACGCCCACGGAGAGACCAAAGCATTCAGTGCCATCCAGCGGCGCCCGCAGCAGGCCCTGCTGCCGCCGTCCCAATGCATGCCGCCCCACTGAACGGCTGCGGTGATTGGTCGCACACAACTGCCTGTCAATTTGTTATAGAGCCGAGGGCAGGCTCCACATCGCCAGATCACGGCATCCACCCCGCTAGCATTGCACGGGGAGAGGCAGCCACATCCGCGTGCTGCACGCCTGCGCCGCACCCGCTCCGGCCGCCACCGCCGCCGCGCTCAGCCCAGGGGGCACGTTGGCCTGGCTCTCCACTGCTGCCTTGGCAGCCGCAGCTCCGTGGGCCAGGGCAGCCTCCGCCGGCAGGCCACGCGCCAGAGCAAACAGGCAGCCTGCCACCAGGCAGTCGCCTGCGCCGCTGCAGTTCACCACAGCCGCCGGCAGGGCGGGCACGTGGCACACTGCAACAGGCGGGGAGACGGCAGCAGCAGTGGCGGGTGAGCCATGCAGGAGCAGGCCCTACATGCAAGACACCTCTGCCCACACATGGCGCGGTGCTTGCAGGCACAGGCTCCCCAGCTGTGCCGCTCCCCAGCAAGGCCAGCTTCCCCAGCCAGGCCAACACTCCCTCTTGAGGATGGAAGCCAGGGCATCCGCCACGCAGCCGGCCGCAGGCGGGTGCTCACCTGCGACAGCCTGGCGGTCAGGGCCCAGCGTGCACAGCGCGGCGCCCTGAGGCCCCATCGTCACCACAACGTGCCGCACCCCTGCCAGCAGCAGGGTTGCGATGTCGGGTAGCAGCCGCAGTAATGAGGCCCGGGGCGACGCTGCTGCTGCCGCAGTCGGGCCTGCGCCACCCGCCTCCTGCTGCGGGCTGCCGCGGCTGCTGGGCGCCCTGCAGGCGCGGGCGCAGCAGCAGCAGCGGCAGCCGCGCTCGCCCCCTGCGCCGCCGCAGCAGCAGGAGCCCTCTGCCCCTCCGCCGCCGGCACAGGCGCGGCCGCTGGCCGGCCCGTCGTTGCAGCAGCTGCGGCCCGCACATGCCAGGCCGCCCGCCGCGCAGCGACACTGCGTGCCGCGCTGCGCCTGCTGCTGCCGCCGCACCGCGGCCGCCATGGCCGCCAGCTCTCTCTCGTTGGGGGAGACAAAGGTGAGCAGGCTGAGCAGGCTGGCAGCCCGTGTGGACTTGGGCACAGACACGGGCTCAAACCAGACCGGCACGCCGGCGGCCGCCGCCTGCCCGCACACCTCCTGCACGCGGCGCGGGCGGGGCTCAGCCGCTCAGCCAAGCCGGGCTTGCGAGGGTGCACAGTCGGGCAGCCAGCCTGTGTGCTGCTGCCTTGTGTGGCACGCAAGGCAGCACCCTCTGTTGATGCGCCATCTGACGATGAGCAGGCAGGCACGCCGGCCCCCGCAGGCGTCCCACCCACCTCCAGTGCCGCGGCGCTGAGGTTGCCGTCCAGCATGACGACCGGGGCCGCCGCCAGCGCCGCCGCCACGGCCGGCGCACGCAGCAGCGGCGGCGCCAGCCGCGCCTCCAGGCTCGCCACGTCAGCCACGCACGCCGCCACCTCGCCACCCAGGTCAAACACCACGGAAACGGTGGGGGTGGCGGCGCCGGGCAGGCGGGAGATGAGGCCGGTGCTGAGCCTGCAGGGGGCGGGCAGGCAGGCAAGGAGTGGAGGCGAGGGGCTTGCGGCGGCGACCGGCCAGGTGTGCTGGAGGCGAGCGAGGCAGGCTGTGCCGGCCTTTGCCGCGGCAGGCCAGCCTCACCCCAGCGACCGCCAGTGCTGCAGCAGCGCGGTGCCTGCCAGATCGTCGCCCACGGCAGACACCAGCAGCGGCAGCGGCGGCGGCGCCGCCGCCGGCGTGCCCGCCCCGCTGCCGCCGCCGCTGCCTGCCCCGCTGCCTGCCGACTTCAGCAGCAGGGCCAGCGCCTCCGCCATGTTGCGGGCCACGCCGCCTGCAGCACGCGCTTAGGCTGGGAGGGGCTCTGGCATGGCAGGCGGGGCGGGCCGGCAAAGGCTGGCGGGTGGGTCTTGCCTGCTGCCTGCTGGCGGGCTGCTCCTTTCCCACCTGCCGACTGCGTGACCCTGCCGGGCACCGAGCCACCGCGCTGCACGTCGGTCGGGCCGCTGGGGCGGGCCTGAAGGTCCATCACCATACCGCCCACCACCACCACCGGGGCGCCGGGTGGCGGCGGCGAAGGCGCCGCACGGCACGGCTGCCGGCCCAGCGGCCAGGCGTCATCGTGCTGCTGCCAGCCGCGCGGCTCGTCATCCAAGTGCCAGTGAAGCACCTCCAGCCGCCTAAAAGCAGCGTTCATGTGGCGAGAGGGCGAGGAGGGCTGCTGGCAAGGGAGACAGACCGGAGGTCGAGGAGCCGCGCTCGCACCCTACAGGGACTATGCGCGAGCGAAAAGCAAAGTGCGATAAGGGAGGCGCTCTTCATCCTGCCGCCACCGTGCCGCCACCTCACCAGCCACTGTGTTTGTGCCACGAATGAACCCAGTTCACAAAATAAACCATGTGCATCGCAGAACTGCAGATGCTTCTTCGCATGTGGCCAGCAGACAAACACCGCGGCCGCGCCCGGCATGGGAAGATGGGATTGCAATGCAGGCGGCTGCGGCGCTCCCGCAGCCGCCGCCACCAAGGCGACGCCATGCGGCAGCACATCATGGCTGCCCCCGACTGCCGCAGCCATCTGGAGTTTGTTTCTGCATGCAGCCAGGAGAGAAACACCAGAGCGGCGGCCGCCATGGAGCTGCCAGCAAGGTGGCATGGCGATGCAGGCGGCTGCGGCGCTCCCGCAGCCGCCGCCAACAAGGCGACGCCATGCGGCAGCACATCAAGGCTGCCCCCGACTGCCGCAGCTGTCTGGCGTTTGTTTCTGCATGGAGCCAGGAGAGAAACACCAGAGCGGCGGCCGCCGTTGAGCTGCCAGCAAGGTTGTATGGCAATGCAGGCGGCTGCGGCGCTCCCGCATCCGCCGCCAACAAGGCGACGCCATGCGGCAGCACATCAAGGCTGCCCTCGACTGCCGCAGCTGTCTGGCGTTTGTTTCTGCATGGAGCCAGGAGAGAAACACCAGAGCGGCGGCCGCCGTTGACCTGCAAGCAAGGTGGCATGGCAGTGCAGGTGGCGGCGGCGCTCCCGCAGCCGCCGCCAACAAGGCGACTGCAAGCGGCAGCACATCAAGGCTGTTACTGACTGCCGCAGCTGTCTGGCGTTTGTTTCTACATGTAGCCAGGAGAGAAACACCAGAGCGGCGGCCGCCGTTGAGCTGCCAGCAAGGTTGTATGGCAGCGCAGGCGGCGGCGGCGCTCCCGCTGCCGCCGCCAACAAGGCGACGCCATGCGGCAGCACATCAAGGCTGCCGCAGATGTCTTACAATGTGCCCAAAACTGCCACAGCAATTGACGGGGCCAGCGCAAAATCTTATGCTACGCCTCTGCCGCCAGCTGCGGTGCCCCCTGCGCCGCCAGGCCGCTCAGCAGGCTGCCGCCGGTGCACATGGCGGTGGTAGCTATGAGGAAGTCGCAGTTGGCCAGCCCCTTCTGGCTCAGGAAGCGCAGCGCAGACACCTGCGGTTGTGTGGCAGGAGATGTGCACCAGGCAATGGGAAGATGTGCACCTGCTGAACCCTTCCGGCGCAATAGCACAGCACAGCACAGCACAGCACAGCAAAGCACAGCACAGCGCAGCGCATCGCAGTGCGGTGTAGCAACACAGCACGACGTCGCACCTCTGCGCACGTCACGCCGCCGATGAACACAACCATGACCCGCCTCCGCCTGCCGCTGGCGGCCGCGGCCGCGGCCTCGGCCGCCGCCTTGCCGCCGCCCTGCCGCCGCTCCACGGGCATCCCCTGCTCATCGCTGCCCTGGCACAGCTCAAACTGCTGGCCGGGCAGCTGCTGCAGCAGGGAGTCGATGCCCGCCCAGCCGGAAGCTGCACGGAAGGGGACGGCAGGAAGAAGAAAGTCAAGTGTGAAGGGAGGGAAGGAGCGAGTGCCAGAGGAGCAGGGCCCTGGGGGCGACCAAGCCAGCCGCAGGCACCAGTGGTATGCGCTGACAAGCAGGCACAACAGCCGCTGCGGATCCCGAAAAAAGACCGATAAAGATGCTGCTGCCACGCGCCCAGCGACGGCGTGGCTGGCTTAGCGCTGGGCTGCAGCCGCGCCGCCCGCCGGCCCCCACCTGATAGCGCCTGCTGCACGAGGCGCACGCTGAGGGGGGCGTAGCCGGCAAAGGTGTAGTGGATGTCCTGGAGAGGGGAGGAGAGAGGTGGGAGGATGGGCAGGGAGAGGCAGCATCAAGGGAATGGCGGCCACACAGCGGGAGGCAGCACGGAGGCAGGTGCAGCCATTTCGGGAGAGGGGAATGCATGGGAGGGCCGGTGGAGGCTGTGGAGCAGGTTGCACGGGCAGGAGGCAGGCCAGGCAGTCGGGGAGGCAGGGGCAAGCAGGGGGTGTGTCTGGCCCCACCTGCGGGCTGGACTCGTCTATCTGCTCCCCCTCCTGCAGCAGCAGGCGCAGCTGCTGCTTGGCGGCAGGGAAGGCGCTGCGCCGCCCCTCGCGCCGCTGCAGCAGGCCTGCGGTGTGGGCACGGGTGGGTTGGGTGGGGTGGGGGGCGTGGGCCGGATGGAGATTGCCAGACGCAGATGGCAAAGCAGGCTGGGAGCGAGCTGGCGCAGGGAGGGAAGGCAGGCGGCAGAAGGCAGGAGGCTCCGCTGAATCACATCACCCCCAGCGCACCTGCTTTGGCCAGGGAGGCCAGTGTGAGGAGGTGCTGGTGGCCGTATGTGTTGAGGATGTCGCGCCTGCGCCAGCCAAGCGGGCGGGCAGGCAGGGTCAGCAGCAGGGGCCAGGCGGCAGGTGTCAAGGCGGGCAGGCAGCAGGGAGGCAGCTCCAAATGCAGCCGGGCAGGCACAATGCATACACAACTGTTAGCCTCCCTCCGCCACCAGCCGCCGCCAGCACCATGCGCCCCACGAGCCAATGCACCCCCCACCGCCCCACCTCAGGTTTTCGTAGTGGCGCGTGGGCACGCCGCCATGCACGGCGCAGTACAGCAGCAGCAGGCGCAGTACAGGCAGCAGGCCCTCCCCCTGGTACATCAGGTCCTGCAGCCAGGTGGGGTTTGGGGCGGGGGAAATTAACTTTGGACTCGGGGTGAGGCGGATGGAGTTGAGCCAATGCGGGCCGGTGGACTGGCACGTGCCTGCGGCAGCCCCAGCACAGGCCAGGCTGCACCGACTCGGCCTGCCGCCATCACCCCAGCCAGCCAGCACGCCAGCCTCATATGCCCCCCACCCCACACCTCTATGGCGGGCATCTCGTCGCCCTCATCCAGCAGCCCCGCCTCCACCGCCTGCCGCGCCACAAAGCCGGGCGCCTGGATGGCGGCCGCCAGCTGCTCCACCAGCCCGCTGTGCAGCGGCAGCCGCACAAACTTCTCGCGCAGCTCTGCGGGGGTAGCGGGCAGGGGCAGTGTGTGTGTGTGTGTGTGTGTGTGTGTGTGTGTGTGTGTGGCCTTCCCCGCCTGAACCTGGTTGTGGTGGTGCTGCTGCCCCACCCCAACCGAACCCTGCCTGCTTGATTCCCGGCCTGCTTGATTCCCGGCGGCGGCGGCGGCGGCGGCAACAGCAGCAGCAGCAGCAGCGCCAGCGCCCGCGCACCCGCCACGAAGCCGCGCAGCTGGTTGATGTCCGCGGTGTGCATGCCCTGGTCGCGGAACTGCTGGATGGTGCTGCAGGCGGCAGGCGGGGAGGAAGGCAGGGAGAGGTGGCGTGGCGGAGGAGGTGGTGCCGCGCACAACCATCCGCACTGGACTGCCAGCACCTATATATGTTGATTTATCAAGCACAGGTCGCATCCTCCCGCCCCTACCAACCCAGCCGCCCACCCCCACCCACCGCAGCGTCTCGTTCAGCCACTTGCGAGCCCCCACATAGAACTGGTCCCGCGTCTCCCGGAACACCGCATCCGCAGAGTTCAGGCCATACACCTTCTTGGGGGCGGCAGAAGCTGCGGTACTGCTGCCGCCTGCGCCACCGCCTGCACCGGGGCAGAAGGGGAGCGGAGAGGCAGGGCGCGGCGGGTGTGTGGAGCAGCGGCGGGGCCTAGCGGGCGCGGCAGGAAGCCGTGGCAGGTGGCAGACTCAGCAAACAGCCCCCACGGGAGCAGTACCGGCCCCCCTGAGGGCCTCTCACGCTCACCGTCTGCTGCTGCCGCCGCCGCCGCTGCGGGCGCCTCTGCCTTCATCTGGCCGCAGGTCAGCCCAAACACCTCGTCCAGCAGACCCTCATACGTCAGCTGCAGGGCAGGCAGGCGAGGCAGGGCAGGCAGTGATGGGTGGTGGGGCAGGCAGGCAGGCAGCAGGCAGGGTGCCACAGGTACAGTTGACCTGCAGCCCCACACACCCACCACCTACAACCCACTGTGACTACCAGGCACAAACACACACACACACACACACCTGCGTGCACATGGGCGTCACCATGTCCACACAGCGGTCCAGCAGGATGAGCGTGTCAATGCCATCGGCACCTGCAGGGGCGAGATGGGCAGGCAGGGAAGGCAGGGAAGGCAGGCAGGTGGGGCGGGCGAGCGGCCGGAGGAAGGAACCCAGGCAGGCGGCTGCAGCGATGCACCCGCAGAGCAGCGGGCAAACCATACGGCGGCAACAGGTGCGACAGGTTTAGCGGCGCACCCGCGGCGGGCGCCTCCGTGCCCTGCTCCTGCCGCATGCGGGACATGATGCGCTGCACTGCAGGTGGGGGCAGGCGGGGGGCGCGACAGGGGGCAGGCACCCAGGCAGGGGGCAGGCGTGAGCTAACCCTAGCAGCCAGGAGAGGGCGTGGCTAGATGCAGCCGCCTCGCAAGCTCCTGCCGAACACATGCACCCGGCGCTGTTGTCCCAGCTGTCACAGCCGGGCAGCGGCCCTGCCCACCTGCCGCCGCCGAGTCCCCCTTTCCCTTCAAGTGTGGGATGGTGCCCCACTGCTGCTGCAGCTGGTGCAGCGCACGCGCCACCAGGAACAGGCTGCTCTTGTCGCGATCCACAGTCAGCTCCTGCGGGAAGAAAGGGCAGAGGGAGGGGGGCAGATGGGCACCAGCGGAAGGGCAGAGGCGGAGAGGAGGGAGAGGCGAGGCCAGGGCAGCCGCAGGCTCACACCACAGGCGCACGCTGCCCTGCCTCCCACACCACCCCCGCCGGGGTCCTGCCCCTTTGAAAAGAAAAACAAGCAGTGGCACAAGGAAAGCAGGATGACCAGGTATTGAGCAGCCTGCGCGCCTTGAAGGCTGAGGGCAGCTCCAGGCTGAGCAGGTCCTCATCCAGCGGCACCCAGTCAAGCGCCAGCTCCCTGCACACCACGGCACAGCATAGCACAGCACAGCACAGCACAGCACAGCACAGCACAGCACAGCACAGCACAGCACAGCACTCCCCAGTCAGCACACCGCGCACAGCCGAGCCCGGCACGGCACCAAAACAGCGGCAGGAAGAGGCCGGCCCAGCCACGCCCGACGCCCCAATCACCACCAACACACCACTGCCATCATCCCCGGCACTCCCACGCACGCAGCTACACACCCCCGATCAACACCACCCACCTCAGCGCCACATCCCCCAGCACACCCTGCTCCTCGAGGATGCGCTCAGCCACCGCGGTACGCCCTGGCATCAGCACCAGAGTGAAGTCGAAGGAGTGGGCGCCGCCCCCGACGGCGGCGGCGCTGAACAAGGGTGGGGGCAGGCACAGGAGGGAGGCAGACGCGTGTGGGGTGGGTGGGCGGGAAACGCGGGGAGGTGGGCAAACGGCGACCGGCCAGGCAGCAGGGCTGAGGCCGCGGTGCGGCAGAGCAGGGGTCCCAGGTGCGGCGAGCACAGCACAGAATCACCCCCCCAGCCGCCGCCTCGCTCACCCCTGCTGGCACATGCGCACGTGGCGCGCCGCCGCCTGGCACGCGCCCAGCTGGCCGTGCGTGAGGTACACCAGCTGGCGCACCCCCTTGTCCACCAGCGCATCCACCACCGAGGGCTGCGCCTCCAGCAGGCAAAACCTGCGGCGCAGTAGGTGGGTGGGGGGGGCAAGAAGAGGGTTGGCGCAGAGTGCGGCCGCTGGTCGGCGCCGGCGTGTGCCGGCCTGGCTCGCTGCCTGCCTGCCTGGTCAGCAGCCGCCACAATCACAGCAGCAGCAGCTGTTTGGCGGGCCTTGAGCGGCTAGCAATGGCAGCAGCCGGCAGCCGGCAGGCAGCAGCTCACACTTCCACGCCGTGCTCCTTGAGGGTGAGCGCGTCGGCGATCAGCCCCAGTGGCGCCTCAAACCCCGCCTCCAGCACCAGCGCCTTGCGCCCGCGCACGCTATCCAGCAGGTCCAGCAGCGCGCGGCGGGCGGCATCCCTGAGGAGGGTGTCGGGGTGGAGAGAAGGGCGGGTGCCAAGGCGGCAGCGGTAGGGCGGCGGCAGGGCGGCGGCGGCCGAGTCGTGTGCGCGCTGCACCATCGCTTCATGAATACACATGCGCATCGTCCGAACGGTCGCAAGCACCCGCTGGCCCCCGCTGCCGCGGACCTGATCGGGCGCAGCGGGATCGGGCCCTTTTCTAACGTGGGCGTGAATTTCTGCATCCTGTGTCGCAGCGCAAACCGCGATCAGGCGCGGGGAGGCGTCATGAGAGAAAATGGGGACCTGACAGGCTGGCGGGCGGGACAGCCTGGCGGCGGCGGCGGCAAGCAGAGCACGAGGTGTTCAACTCAGTCAGCTGATGCAACCCCAGTTGTATGCACATGAGCTCTCTGTGGTGCAGCTGCATTGAATTCCCATGCCCCAGAAAGAAAGTGTTTGAACGGTTTGCCACCTTTCCCGCCGCGGCGCTACATGCCCTCAGTCGATGCCTGCAGCCCCCCAAGTAGCCTGGCATTCAAATCGTGGGCTCTACAGCCTCTCAGGGCAGCACACCCGCTGTTTCAGGCAGCCAACAGTGGCCCACCGTTGTGCGCCAACACGGCTGAGCCTGGCAGCTAGCGCAGTCCAAGGTCTCAGACTGCAAGCTGCTGCAAACTGGTGGGTCTGCCTAGTGCCTCTGTGTGGCCGCAACTTGAACACCTGCCCGGGCGCAGGCCCCTTATCAACGCACTCAGACCTCGCCCTGTGCAGTCCTGGGCGCCATGAGCAGCCCCCAGCCCTCGCCAGCAGCTGCAGTGGCCGCAGGAGCAGGTGTGGGCAGCAGCCCACTGCTTGTCCCCTGCTCGTGGCAGCAGCTCCAGCCCCAAGCCTCGGCTCCCCTCTCTGCCGACGCCAGCCCACCCAGAGCCGAGGCGGTGAGTGACGAGGCATGTAGCGGCAGGCAGCCCTCGGAGCAGCCTCGGACGCCTTCCCGCCGCCCGCGCCGTGCAATGCCCGTCGCCCGCGCAGGCAGCAACTTTCCTCTCAGCTCAGCTACATCTCACCCTGCTGCCATGTCCACGCCCTGGCTTATCACCTGCTTTGCAGATTACTGCCCGCTCCCGCCTGCAGGCTGGCTCTGGCGCGGCCGCCCAGCACGACCCTGCAGCCGCCGCAGCCGCCACCGCTCTGTCGCACCTCGCTGTCATGGTCCCCGCGCTGCCGGCAGCAGAGCGCCAGCAGGGCCAGGCGGGCGCAGAGGCTGCCATGCATGACTGCTACCAACAGGGGGCCTCTCTCCTACAGCTGGAGAGCGGCTGCAGCCAGCTTGCCTCTTCGCCAGCGTCGGCGGCAGCTGCGGCTGCCGCGCCGCCTGCTACCACTGCCATGCCTGCGGCCAGCCCTCGCGCGACTCCGGCGGAGCCGCAGCGCGGATCCGCAGGGCAGCAGCAGCAGCAGGAGCATACCCAGGCAGTGACCTGGCAGCCGCCGCTGCCCAGCTTAGAGAACAGCCTGCTGTGCACCGAGAGCAGCCTGAGCCTGGAGCGCGCGTTTGCCCTAGCCAGCTCTGGGCATGCCGCCGCCGATCGGCCGGCGCAAATGGTGCCCGCCGCGGCCATCGGCGGCAGCAACCCGCGCAGCAGCGGCGGCCTCCTGGGCAGCGGCACCTCGGGTGGCGACGAGCGGGATGGAGGGCTGTGTCAGCAGCCGCTGCCGCCGCCGCCGCCCCAGCCTGCGGCTGACTTCTTTGCGGCTGCCTACGTCGCTGCGGCCGTCGCGGCTGCCAGCTGCCTGCCCTCTCACCCAGGCCCGGCATCTTCCTCACGCGGTGCCGTCCCTGCAGCCTGGGCAGCGCCGCCACGCATGCTGGCTGTATCCGTCAACACAATGGACGGGAAGGAGGCCGGCAGCAGGCAGCAGACGTGGGAGCCGCTGTCGGCAGCCGCAGCACCGCCACCAGCGCCTCAGCAGATGCGCGCCACGCCCCCATCGCCGCAGCAGGCGGGCTCGCCGCTGTCCACCCCGAGCAGGGGAACCGTCGCCGCAGGCGCTCCCGCCGCCGCAGGCCTGCCACTCAGCTTTGGTAGCCCTGCCGGGATGCTGGGTGGCCTGGGCAGCCCGCTGAGCAGCCTGAGGAGCCCGACGCTGGGCGGCCTTGGCAGCCCCCTGGCATGCATTGGCAGCCCGTTGGCCGCCCCGCCAGTCGGGGGCAGGGGAGGTGGCGCCAAGCAGCGCGGCGGCGCATCACTCTGCGACCTGGTGAGGCTGGATGCTGGCCGAGCACCTGCCGGCAGCCCCGGCCCTGAGCAGCTGCACCTTCGTGCTGCCACCGCATTCCGCCGCTTGCCGTGCTTTCTCCCTGCCGCCGCCAATCTGAGCGTATCTGCCACGTGCTTCATGTACTGCCCTGTGCTGCAGGACACCATGTACAGCCGCCTGCTGTCTCAGGACCTCGACCCTTACCAGGACGGATCAGCCAGGGCGCCAACAGGAGTGCCAACAGCCGCTGGCGCCGGCGCATCCACTGCCACCTGCACCGCAACAGCGCTGCCGCCGCAGCCGCCCCCGCTGCCACTGGCTCTAGCTGGCCAGAGCGCTCTGGCGCCGGTGGTGCCTCTTCCGCACCTGACCATGCTGGCGACGCCTCGCATTACCACAGCGGCTGCGCCCGGGGAGCACCAATCGCCTGCTGCCGGCGGCGCGTCGCCGCTGCCTCGGGTGGCGGCGCCAGCCACGGCCCAGCTGCTGCCAGCCGTGCCCACACCTGCCGTGGCGGCCTCGCCGCTCGCAGCGGCAGCCCAGGCAGTGGCTTGGCCGCAGTTCTTGCTGCCGCAGGTCGCCCTGCTGCATCCCAACGGCCAGCTGTTCATCCCAAACCTGCAGCCATTCACTTTCCTGCTGCCACAGCAGCCACAAGCGCCGCACCAGCAGCTGTCCCCGCCCCCCGCGCCGCCGCTACTCACCCCTCAGCGGCAGCAGCAGCAGGAAGGGCAACTGGAGCGCCGGCCCGACCAGGAGAGGGAGCAGCACCAGGCTGCCGAGAAGGAGGCAGCGGTGGCGGCAGAGGAGGCGGAGGTGGAGCGGCCTGCAAAGCAAGGAAGGGTGCTGCGGCCATCAAAGGATCAGCAGGCCAGTGCTGCAACGCAGACAAAACCAGAGAATACGCCCCTGCCCTCCCTCAAGCGCAAGAAGCAGCAGAAGCAGCAGGGCAAGCCGCCGCTGCCTCCCAAGAGGCAGTGGCCGGCGTCCGCCAAGCCGACCACTGCCGCTGCCGCACCTGCGGCTGCTGCGGCTGCTGATGGCTCAGGGTCTGGCGCCAGCAGCAGTCGCACCGCCGCTTGGAGCGCAGGCGGCAGCCGAAGCACTTCCCCCTCAATGCGCAAGCGGTGCGTGAGCGTCGCTTGCCTTTGCTGCCTGCCGACCAGCCTGCCTTCAAGCGGCATGGTTTGGGACGGTGTTAGGGATGCACCCCGAATCACCACCCTGCTTTCTTCCTGCACACTCCATGCAGCCCCCGCAAGCCCGCCAACCGTGGCGCCGCCACGCCGCTGCTGCCTGCGGCAGCCGCCACCGCAGCCTCCACACCGCCTGCCCCAGCAGCCGCGGCCTCAGCAGCAGCAGCAGCGCCGCCGCCGCCGCCGCCGCCTGCCGCCGACCCTGCGGTGCCTGCAGGGGCCGGTGCCGGCGTGGGCGAGGGCCCTCTCAGCAGAGTGCAGCTGCTTTCCAACGGCACAGCACAGGAGGCTGCCGAGCCGGCTTATGTGACCTTCCAGCTGCCCACCACGAGTTACGGAGGTGAGGGAGGAGGCACAGCAGTTGCTGCAGGAGGCGCCCGCGGATGGCAGCCTCATCTCATGCCAGCTCCTGCAGCCGAGCGCCTCCTGCCAGCGCCTGCCGCTTTCACAGCACGCCTGCCCCGTCTGCCGCCGCCGCCACCCTGCTGCCCGCAGGCGTGCTGGGCACCTGCCCCGTGCGCTGCCGCTTCCTGTTCCAAAAGCCGCTCAGCGCCAGCGACGCGGGCAAGCTGGGGCGCATGGTGGTGCCGCGCTGCGCGGGTGAGCGAGGTGGTCGGGCAGGGAAGCAGGCAGGCTGGGGGGCCGTTTTTGCTGACGAGGGCGGCCACGAGCTGCTGCTGTCAACCCGCAGAGCCAGCACCAGACCTACATGTTGCAGGCTGGTCGAGCCCTCCTGATATCATCTCACGCCCTGCCATGCTGCCTGCTGCCCCCGCAGCGGCGCACCTGCCCGAGTGCGGCAAGGGCGGAGCGGTTGTGGATGTGCAGGACAAACTGGGTGGGTGGGTGGGTTAGGGGGAGCAGCAGTCAGCTGGTTGGCAGCCAATAGGCAAACAGCTTGTGAGCTTGTCCGCTCCTGCTCACGCCACCCGTGCATTGCAAGCCGTTCTGCTGTGCAAGGCCCATCTGAGTGTGCTCCCTCACCTCCCCCCGATCTGCGCCCGCTCTGCCTGAGCCCCATGCAGGCCGCCAGTACAGCTGGCGGCTCAAGGCCTGGGAGAGCGGCGAGGGGCCCAAGCGCACATACCTCTTCGAGCAGTGTCGCCCCTTTCAGCAGGCATGGCAGGTGCAGCCCCGCACCACGCTCGCCTTCTACCAGATGCCCAGCGGCGCGCTGGTGAGTGTGCCGTGGCGTGCGGCTCATGAGCGCTGCCGCTGTGAGTTGGAAGCTGGCAGCAGTCAGGACGGGCATGCCCGCAATGTGTGAGCAGCACGCCGCCCGCTGAGCCTGGCAGGCCGTCTGGCAAGACTGCTGCTGCTCCCTGACAGGCTTGAGGCGCCTGCTCCCTGCCCGCATGCAGCTGGTGGACCCTCACCCGCTTCAGTCCTACTTTGGCGACGAGTGAGGCGGCTGGTCCCTTGGAGCAAATCCCAGGTGGTTGGCAGGGCATGCAAGCAGCCAGCCAGAGTGTCCGCCGCTGCACACGCAGCAGCGGATAGAGCGGCTAGGCATGCAGCAGTGAGCAAACAGACAGCATCCATACACCAGAGAAGCAGTTCAGGCACCAGCAGCAACAGCAGTGGCAGCAGCAAGGATAACACCAGCAGCAGAAGAGGCAGCACAGATAGCAGGCAGATGTGGCAGCAGTCAGCGAGGAGGCTGCGCTTGAGCTAGCAATTGATCCCTGCTACTTTGAATCAGCTTAGATTGAATGACGCCGAGTTACATGAATGTAGTAATGCGATCAACAGGAGGGGTCTGGCAGGGTCATACGGGTGTGCCAGCAACTCCGCGTCGCGTGCCACCAGCGCCATGCCACCTCCGCGCCCCCTGGTCACCCCAGCGACTCCACAAAGTTCCTGACGATGCGCATGCCGTTGTCGGTGATGATGGACTCTGGGTGGAACTGCACGCCCTGGATGTGGGGGTAGGCGCGGTGGCGCACGCCCATGATGGTGCCGTCCTCGCACCTGCCAGCAGGGGTGGGCAGGCCAGAGCGAAGGGGAAGGCCGGCGAGGTGAGCAGGAGGAGGGCAGGGTGTGAGGAGAAGAGACGTGGGGGCGACGCATGCGGATGGCAAGGCAAGGCAAGGCAGGAGGATGGAGTTTGTGGAGCCGCTCGTGCGCAGCTGTGTGTGCCTGCACTGAGACCGCCCCGGCCCGCACCAGCCGACCCACCAGGCGGTGACTTCCAGCTCCTCTGGGCAGCTCTCCTTGTCTATGACCAGGCTGTGGTAGCGGGCTGCCTTGAAGGGGTTGTCCAGGCCTTCCAGCAGGCCGACGCTCGTGTGGAACACGGGGCTGGTCTTGCCGTGCATCACGCCGCTGGGCGCGCGCACCACGTTGCCGCCAAAAACCTGCCCGATGCACTGGTGGCCCATGCACACGCCAAACACGGGGAAGCCCAGCGGGCCCAGCTTCTCAACGATCTCAAGGGAGATGCCGCTGTCCTCGGGGCGCCCTGCGGAGGCAGGTGGGGTGGGCAGCAGGCGGCGGGGGTAATCCACGGCAGCAGCCACAGGAGGCAGCCGACAGCGGGAGCAGGAGCTGCATGCTGCTCATGTGGCTCCCCCCTCCCCCTGCCTGCCCCGCCCCACCTCATTGTAATACACACACGCTTCCCTGCCCCTGTGCCCGCACACGCGCTCACCGGGGCCGGGCGAGACCAGGATGCCGCGCGGGTTCATGGCCCTGATCTCCTCCACGGTCTTGGCATCGTTGGGAAAGACTACGTACTCGCAGCCCAGGTCGCCGAGATACTGCGGCACCGCGTGGTGTGGGAGGATGGTTGGGAAGGAACTGAGCAGAGTGGGGCAGCGAAAGGAACAGCGAAGGGAGGAGAAGGGCAGGCGGCGGCAGCAGACTGAGCTCCCTCCAGGCTGCCCCGCGCCGCTCCCTGCACCATGCGTGCCGGCCGTGCCACGCACCTGGCACAGGTTGTAGGTGAAGGAGTCGTAGTTGTCGACCACAACCACAGGCCCCTTCTCCGCAGCGGCCGCAGCGCATACCGCCGCAGCACGCGGCGCCGCCGCTCGCCGCCGCGCTAGCCGCTGCTGCTGCACCGCCTGTTGCTCGCCTGGCCGCCGCTGCTGCTGCGGTAGCCGCTGGTGCAGCCTATGCGCTGCTGCGAGAGCAGGGAGGGCACCTCGCTCGGAGGCAAGCAGGGTGAGCGATGCAAGCTGGCGGCACCGGCGACTGGCGGCGGTGGCAGGCCAGCAACCAGGGGCACCCAGGGCGGCACAATTGCCGCCATCGCATTGTGTGCACCAAAGCAGCTCACCTGGGAGCCCGCATGCGGCCTTCAAGCCTGAAGCCCGCTGTGCCCGCTGCTGCTGAGGCAGTCTGCTGCACGATGCTGCTACGACCTGCATGCTGATGGACCTCTGGACACTGTTTTCCTCCACCCCAGGCGGTATGCGTCGAAAGCGCGAAGGGTAATGCGGCAGGGACTTGGGTGCTGCTGCCGAGCCGGCCTGCGCGGGAACAATGGCTGGTGGCTGCGTGGTTAAAACGCCGGGGCGGTTCGTTGAAATGAGTGCACCTAGATGAGGCTGGCCTCAGCACGCGAGTCATGCCCAGCCTTTCCCTCGCCACATGGGCCTCGGAGTCGCTACAAGCCTTCAATTCAGCACTTACGCATCAATTTCAGCTCTTCTGGGCCGCCTCTTCCTCGGTCAGAGTGGTCTCAGCACCTTGCCGGCAGAGCCGCACGCCTTGCCAGCTCCACAGGCGCCACCAGACATGCAGCAGGCGCCCCCAGATCCGGGCGTCTCGCCGCCAGCCGAGCCAGCCATGGCGCCGGCGGCAGCCGACCCGCCGCGCCCAGCGACCGCACCAGGCGAGCCCCCACCGGCAGAGGCGCCACCAGTGCAGGAGGAGCCAGATGTGGCCGCCCTGCCCCCAGACCACCCGCTGCTGCGCCGCGCCCAGGAGGCGCTGCACCGCCAGCTATCGGAGCAGAAGCTGCGGCTCCAGGAGGAGCTGCGGGAGCGCAGGAAGGCGCTCAAGGTGCGGTTTGGGTGCCGCCGCCGCCAAAAGCCGCCGCCGCTCCCTCGACTCAGCCGAGCAATAACGGAACATGTGTGCCCCGCTTCCACCTGCAGGATGCCAAGCAGCGGCGGGAGGATGTGGGTGTGGAGCTCTACGGCTTCCAGCAGCACCTGGCCAAGCTGCAGCTGTCACTGGAGGCGGCGGGCGACCAGCACGGCACCGCGGCGGCGGCACGCGCCGAGGCAGACGCCCTGCGCGACGCCCTGCGCGCCCAGGTGGCAGAGGAGGAGGCCACGGCTGCGGCGCGCAAGGCCCAAGTGGGGGCGCTGCAGCGGGAGCTGGATCGGCTGGCAGCCAGCCTGCGTGCCATCCAGGCGCACAATGATGCCGTGGCGAGCGAGGTGGCGGCGGCCAAACGTGCCACGTATGCCACAGAGGGCGCGGTGCAGGCTCTGGAGGCCCAAAAGCGGGAACAGGACTTTCTGATAGACTCCATGCAGCACCAGCTGCGGCGGCTGGGCCGCCAGGCCGCGCTGGCCGGCGAGGCGCTGGGCGTGCAGCGCGGCGAGACGGCTGCTGCACGCCAGTTCACGGCGCAGGCGCTGGCCGACATGGAGGAGGTGGCGTTTGAGAAGAAGCAGCTGTTGGGGCAGTGGCGGGCCAGCCTGGTGGCTATGAAGAAGCGGGACGCTTCCCTAGAGGTGTGTGTGTGAAGTGGGTGGGCGGGAGAGAGTTGAGTGGCGACACGAAGTAGCGCGGGCGGGCAAGCGGATGCTCGAGAGGTGGGGAGGGCGCCTGTGCCATCGCCACATCTCCGTTGCACTGCTGAGTTCGCCCCGCCTGGCCTGGCCTTGCTTCTGCTGGCACAGACTCTCCAGGACTCTCTGCGGCAGCAGCAGGAGCAGCAGGCGTCGGCGGCCAACGAGGCGGAGGGGTACCGCCGCCAGCTGGCGCAGCAGCGGCAGCGCAACGAGCAGGCGGGCGAAGTGGTGGCACGGCTGGCCGCGCAGGCGGAGCGGCTGGCAGCGCAGGTGGAGCGTGTGCGGCGGCGGCACGCAGAGCTGCAGGTAAGCATGCTGCACAGGGATTTGCTAGCGGGGTGCAGATCTGACAGCCTGAATGGCAGAGTTTGTTGGGTGCCATCCGCCACACGAGGCAGCTGCAATTGCTCCAGGCCGGCCGCCATTTCACGCCTGCCTGCCTGCCTGCCTGCCACTGTGGTGCCGTGCAGGAGAGCCACGTCAGCCTGCAGCAGCAGCTGGCGGAGCGGCAGCATGCCCTCGAGGCGGCAGCAGCAGAGGCCGCCAAGCTAGCTGCCCAAAAGGCGGCGCTGGAGCGGCAGCAGGCCAAGCTGGGGCAGGAGGCGGCTGCGGCCGAGCAGGCTGCGCTTGAGCGGCTGGGGGAGCAGACGTTTGCCGAGAAGGGGGCGGCGGCTGTGCTGCGGGACATCCAGGCGGCCCGGGCGGCGGTGCAGGAGAAGGAGGCGGCTGCCGAGCAGCTGCGCGGCGTGCTGGAGCGGCTGGAGCGCGAGACAGCAGGCACCCAGGCCAGCAGCGAGCGCGTGGCGGCGGTGCTGGCAGGCCTGGAGGGCGTGCTGGCGGACAAGGCGGCGGGTGTGGCGGCGCTCGAGGCGGAGATGGCGGCGGGGCATGCCGACGTGGAGGGCAAGACGCGGCAGCTGGAGGCGCTGAACCGCCGCTACCAGCGCCAGGTGGACAACGCCAAGGATGTGGAGACGGGTGGGGCGCAGCTGCCAGGGATGGGGGGTGGCGGCGAGCTGCACTGCTGCCGCAGAGGCGGGCAGGGCGTGCCCGCCTGCACTGCATGCCATGCCGAGCTCCCCAGCCCCCAGGCTCTGTCCGTCCATGCCTCATGCCAGCCTCCCAGCCCCCTTTCCTTTCCACAGGTCCGCTGGAGGCCACGATTGCCAACCTGCAGCGCGAGATAGCGGCCAAGGAGGAGGCGGGCCGCGACCTGCAGCGGCGCTGGATCGCGGTGCAGGGGCAGCTGGTGGCGGCGCAGGCCGACAACGCGGAGCTGGCAGAGGCGGTGGCGGGCATGCGGGCGCAGCAGGCGGTGATGCAGCAGAAGCGGGCGCGCTTGGACGCACAGTGAGTGGTGGCAGGGAGGCAGTGCTGGGGGATGCGTGTCCCGGCACTGGAAAGGGTGGCACCATTCCACTGTGGGGGACTGACCCACTTGCACGTCGTATGCATGGCCTTGCCCACCCCGCAGGCTGGAGGCGCAGCAGCGCGAGGCTCGTGATCTGTCCAAGGCCCTGGCCGCCCTGCGCTCCGAGACGGGGCGCCTCAACGGGCTGCTGGCGGCGGCGGCGGGGCAGCGCAGCGCTCTGCACGAGGACAATGTGGTGCTGGAGGGGAAGCTGGGCGGGGAGCTCAAGGTGGGTGGCAGGGCCTGGGGATGCGGTGGGCTGCGCTACAGGCAGGGCAAGCCTCTCTGCTGGTGCAGGCAGAGTGTGCGGCCGGTCGGCAGGCCTGCAGCTGCCGCCTGTTTCGGCAGCTGTTGCCCGTGGCAGAGCCGCATTGGGAGCCATGTGCCCGCTCACCTTCCTCGCGCTGCGTGGCACAGGCGCTGGAGGGGCGCTGGGTGGCCCTCAACGCGTCGGTGGAGGAGCTGCGGGGCGAGCGCGCCGAGGCGCTGGCGGCGGTGGTGGAGGCGGAGCGGGAGGTGATGGTGTGGGAGCGGCGGGTGCAGCTGGAGAAGGAGATGAGGGAGGCGGTGGACCCGGCCTACGGCAACGAGCAGCTGGCGGCGGCGCGCAAGGAGGTGGCGCGCCTGTCGCACGCCGCCGCGGCGCTGGCCCGGTCGCGGCAGGCGCTGGTGGGGGAGCTGGCGGTGGAGAAGCGGGAGGCGATTGGCACCAAGGTACGGGGCGGCGGGGCGGCCTGCTGCTGGGTGCCGCATTTTGACACTTCGTGCCTTCTTGGCTGCTCGTGCATGGTCCGAAAACTGCGGTCGGATGCCCTCGCGCCCTCCCTGCCCCGCAGGCCCGCGTGTCACAGAGCCAGAAGATCAGGGACATGACGGCGGCGCAGGCGCGGCGGCAGGCGGATGACCTGGCGCGGGCGGCGGCGCGGGCGGAGCGCGAGGCGCGCGCCGCGCAGGGCCGGCTGGAGGAGCTGGGGTTGGGGTTTGAGGCGGTGCAGGTGCGAGCCTGCCTGCTGGCTTGGCTGGGCTCAGCTGAGGGGCCTGTGGTGGTGCTTGGTCTCCCGTCCAATGTTGCTTCCCAGCCCACCACCTCTTCTCTTGCCTGGTTGCTGCCATGGAGGGCTGCCCCACATCCAGCTGCCGGCTCATCGCTGTGACGAGCTGCTGCCCCTGCTGCCACGCAGGCGGCGGCGGAGGCTGCCGGGCAGCAGTGCCGGGCGCTGCAGGAGCAGCAGGCGGGGGTGCAGGTGGAGTTGGAGGTGCTGGGCAGGGAGAGGCACAAGGTGGGTGGGTGGGGTTCGAGGGAGGGTGGTGGGTGGCAGGCTTGCATTGAGAAGAGGCGGCAGGCGGCAGGTACATGAGGCAGGGCTTCAAAGAGCGAGCCGCGCTCCCTGCCCGCCTCAGGCGCTGGTGGCCACCTCACTGAAGCAGCGGGAGGCGAAGCGGTACGAGGAGGCGCTGGCGGGGCGGTACAAGCCTGCGCTGCCGGCGGCGGCCTCCCAGGGCGAGGAGGCGGCAGCGGCGGCTCTTGCTGCGGAGATGGAGCGTGCGCAGCGCAAGCAGGAGCTGCTGCGTGCGGCGGTGGAGGGGCTGGCGGCCGCAGAGGCGGCGGCGGGGCCTCAGCTGGAGCGAGCGCTAGCCCATGTGGCTGCGCTGTCGGACTGACTGCGTGCCAGTGGGCGCATACTGCTGCTGTTACGGTTCGTAGATGGTTGGAAGGAGGTGCAAAGAGAAGAAAGAATGAAAGAAGACGTGCAGGGGAGCGATGCTGAGAGAGAAAACTGCAGCACAGTCGCTGCTGGTGCTGCTGCTGGCAATGCCGCTTGGGAGGGCGCCTGCTGCTAGCTGGCATTCTCTGCTTCACATGCGTCGATCCAGTCGCTGCAGGGGGAGCGTGGCGGGGAGGGCGGCGGTTGTGGGCGCGTGTCTCGACGCAGCTGGCTACCGCCACAACACATGCAGCCAGCATGCACCTCCTGGCACGCAGCACCCGCGTCCACCCCCCACCACCCGGCCAGCACCTGTACACGTCTATCGCCTCGGACAGCTGGTGGATCTTGCACGACCAGCTGGCCTTGCACTGGCTGCACTTGACCGCCCCGATGTTGGTCTCGCGGTCCAGGTCGCAGCCCACGCTCTTGTCGGCGTTGCAAAAGGGGCAGGCAAAGGTGGTCTCCAGCTTGGGACGCGCCTTCTTAGGCGGCGGCTTGGCGCTGGACTTGCGTTTGCCCATGCTGCAGGAGTGCGGAGGGAGGGGAGCGGCAGCACACGGGTCGGAGGCAGGAAGGCGGCGACGGCGGTGGGGCTGTGGCTCTTGGGGAGCAGGGGCGCGCTCCACGGCACACCTCACAGTGCCAGCACCTTGTGCCTTGGCTGCAGGGGCAAGGATTTGCTGGCTACAGACCGGGACTCGCACCTTGTGCCGTCGCAACTGCTGCCGCGCTGCTGGTGGGTCTACCGCTGCTGGAATCGATTTCACACACTAGAACAGCGCCGATTCGTCGAGAGAACACCGCAGAACTTGAAGGCCCGGGCACCGCTAGACACTGCACTTGTGAGTTATGGAGATGAATGTGCAATGTGAGGGGATGCCCTGGGAGCGAGGAGAGCGCCTGTGGCTTTCCTGCCAGCCAGCTCCACGTGGCTCAACTTCGGTTGACGGTCGCAAAGCACGCGCTGCAACCCCTGCGACTTGTCCATCACAATCCAACTTTAGATCGCAGCATAGATTGCGTTCTTGATCTCTGCCGACACTCCCCCACCTGGCTCGCTGCCCTCCGCGGCCTGTGCTCCGTCTAGCTGCAGAAATAAGCTTTGAAGCAGCGATGCGCGGCCTGGGTGCAGCGCGGCGGCTGCAACGCAGCCTGCAGCTAGCACCCAGCGTCGAGGGTGAGGCCGCCGCCCTTGCCTTTGCGCACCTGCCCCGCCGGACAGCCCCTCCGCTGCTCAGCAGCTGTCGGGTTAGCCGTCTGGAGTCCCGCCGCCCTGGGTTTGCAACCCTCCTGTGCCGCCGCCAGTGCCGCCATCGCCGCCGCCTACACGCCCCTGCTTGCGGTCGACAAGAGGGCCATCCCTGCTTGTTTACTCGGTTCAAGTGGACCGCGCTGCAGGTGCTGCAGTGAAGGAGGCGCTTGGCAGCCACAATGTCGCGGCAGCAGCCCCCTGCCTGGGTAGCTGCCACGTTTTGGCTCCCGCAGCGTGTACCAGCCACCGAAGCAGCAGCGAGGTACATCCGCCGCCTGCGCCCTGGCCCATCAACCGGAGGGCGCTGCACTGCTCAGGTGGCGCGCAGCAGACAGCCGCCATGCCACAGGGTGAGCTGCTGCTGGAGGGCTGCCATGCCCATGTTGGTTGGTGCGGCCGGTACACGTTGCTGCCCTGCTGCCCACATCCAGAGCTGCCCGCCCCACGCACGCCTTCTGCCACCCTTGCTGCCGCCGTCTCTGCCCGCAGCGGCGCAGCAGCAGGCCGCCGTGCCGGAGCCCTGCTCCTCGGTTGCGCTTGATGCCGCCTCAGCAGCCAGCGCGTCTGCGGCCACGGCGCTGTCTGGGCTAGCAGCCAAGCTGAGCAGCGGGGACCCATTCTTGAACAGCGTAGAGGCCACCGCGGGGCCCATAGTGGCATACAAGGAGGGGCGGCTCAAAGGAGCGTACCGCAAGGTGCGAGGCGGTACCTGCCGCTGCTTCTTGCCGGCGCCCGCTCGCTGCTCTGCCTACCACGCTGCCTGCCTGCCTGCCTGCCTGCCTGCCTGCCTGCAGGATGAGCGGCAGGAGCTGACTATCACCCGCATCCAGCAGGTGTACGACGACCTGCAGGCGCGCCTGGGCGGCGACCGCTCCCTGCGCAAGGGCCGCGGCCTGACCCTGCTGGACGCCGCCCCCGCCAGCATCGGCAGCGGCGGCGGAGGCTGGTTCGGGGGCCTGTTTGGCGGCGGCGGCGGGCGCGACGAGAGCACTGCGGCGGCGGCCCCCGTCCAGGGGCTGTACATGTATGGCGGCGTGGGGGTGGGCAAGACTATGCTCATGGACCTGCTGGCACAGACGGCCCCCCCAAACTTCAACGTGAGCCGGGGGGGAGGGCTGGAGGGGCAGATGTGGCATAGCTAGCGCCTGTGGGGCAGGCAGCAGGGCACGGCACCATGCAGGCTGCTCCGCCGCAGTGCTCTCCCCATAGCCATCCCCGCCACCTCGCCGCCCCTGCCCTGCCCTTTGTTCTCTCCCACCTTGCCTCCCTCCTCGCTCGCAGCTGGAGCGCACACACTTCCACGACTTCATGATCGGGGTGCACCAGAAGCTCAGGTGCGAGGGCTGGCCGGCAGATGGGGACGTGGCTGGCCTGGGGAGGCGACAACAGGGGAGGGCTCCATTGCAGCTGCATCCCTGCTGCGGGATTGCCGCGTGGGCTGCGTGCCGGCTGCCCGCGGTGCCTCGCCTCATGCCACCCTTGGACTGCCTGCCCCGCCTGCAGGCACTTTGCCAGCGTGGCAGACCCTCTGGCGCATGTTGCCGACGGCATAGCAGACAGGGTGCGGGGGAGGAGCCTTGCTCGGTTGACTCAACCGCGTCCTCAGGTTGCCCTCCCTCCTGCTGGTGCTCCTCTCTCCTGCTCCTGCCTGCCCCCCCACTCGCCCGCCCGCCCTGCCCTGCCCGCCTGCCCCGCCTGCCTCCACAGCAGATCTCGGTGCTGTGCCTGGACGAGCTGTTTGTGACCGACGTGGCCGACGCGATGATCCTGCACCGCCTGTTTGGAAGGTGGGGCGCGCCTGGGGGCACAGCGCAGCGCCCTCCGTGGGCCAGCGCAGCGCCCTCCGTTGTTCTCCGGTGCATGGCAGCAGTCGCCTCCTCTTGCTGCGCCCGCTGCTCTCCCCATGTTTCTCTTTCCCTCTCCACCCGGCACTCGCCTCTGCATCTGCCCACACCCGTGCACACACACTCTGCACCACTGCATGTGACGCACATGCTGCCTGGCGCAGGCTGTGGGATCGCGGCCTGGTGCTGGTGGCCACCTCCAACCGCCACCCAGACGCGCTGTACGAGGGCGGCCTGCAACGCTCCCTCTTCCTGCCCTTCATACAGCGGCTCAAGGTGCGCGCAGGCAGGCGGCGGCGTGCGTGTGTGTGTGGGATGGTGGTGTGTGTCTGTGTGTGTGTGCAGTGGTGGTGGGCAGGGGGCCAAGTGTAGCTGCTGTCAGCTTCCTGACAGCAGCAGCTGGCCCTCCCTGCTTTGCTCTGCACCTGGCGGTTTGCCAAGCACCTTTCATCGTACTGCTGTGCCTGCCCTGCTGTACCGCTACCGTGGCAGGAGGCGTGCGCTGTGCACGACATGAACAGCCGCACCGACTACCGCAAGCTGGCGCACCACAGCCGCGGCCTCTACTTTGTCACGCCCACGCGGGAGGAGGTGCGGGGTTGGTGGTGGTGCTGTGTTGCTGGGCCAGCTGATTGGATTGAGTTGGGATTTGCAATGAGCGTGATGTCTGTGGCCCAACTGAGTGGGGTGGGCATGGCAGCGGCGCCACCATGCAGCCTGCGTGCCCCCACGGCGCAGCCCCCTGCCCGATACCACGCCGCACACACCGCTGTGGTGCTGCACCCCGACCTGTTGCCTGTACCGCTGTGCTCCGACTCGTACCGCATGCACCACTCCCTGTACTGCTGCCTGTGCCGCAGGACCTGTATGAGCGCTTCATGGAGCTGGTCAACGGCCAGCCGGTGCGCCCCGCCTGGGTGGATGTGGCCATGGGGCGCCAGCTGGAGATGCCGCGCACCGGCGGCTGCGCCACGCTCTTCACCTTTGACGAGCTGTGCAACCGGCCGCTGGGGGCAGGTGGGGCGGGGCGGGTTGGGAAGGGGTCGGGTCGCTTTGTGTGGGGAGGCAAGGGGGTGGGCGGGCTGGGTGGCGGCAGCGCGGACAGGCAGGCGGGCAGGCAGGCAGAGCAGGCTGCGCATCTCACCCCTATTGGCTGTCCTCCTCCCATCGACCCCGGCCCTCCTCTCTTTCCCTCTTCTCTCTTCTTCCTCCTCCTGCCACCCTCCGCACACCTCCACCGAGTCTCCCCACCCACATGTGTCCCTTGTCCCTGCGCCATCCATCCTCCCCACCCACATGTGTCCCTGATCCCTGCGCCCGCAGCCGACTACATCGCCCTGGCCAACGCCAAGCACACGGTGGCGCTGAGCGGCGTGCCCGTCTTCACCGCCGCCAACCGCCAGACCGCGTACCGCTTTGTGACGCTGGTGGATGTGCTGTACGAGCACAGGTGGGGGTCGGGTGGGGTGGGTGGTGGTGTGTTTGTGTGTTTCCGCTCACGCGCCAGAGAGAGAGACAGGGAGGGAGAGATAGAGAGAGAGAGAGAGAGAGATCCTTCCTTGCCGCGTGCGGCCCCCAGCCCGCTCCGCTCTGCCCCAGTACCACCTCTCTATCCTCCTGCAGGGTGCGCTTCCTGTGCTCCGCCGAGGCCATGCCCTTCGAGCTGTTTGAGAACGTGAAGACGCAGCAGGAGGCGCGGGCAGGTGGGCGGGAACATGGCAGCGCAGCGGGGTGGGGAGGCGGCGGCAGGAGCAATGCCGGCCGGGGTCAAGGAGGGCAAACCTGCAGAGAGCTGGAGCAGGGAGGGAGCAGAAGAAGAGAGTTGTGTGCGCTGTCAGCACCCCGCGCGCCAGCTAGGCAACATGCCGCTCCTGCCACCGGCCTGCCTTTCCCACTCCTCCCCCGCGTGTTCTGGTGCGTGCTGCAGCCCCTCCCTCTCCCTCCGAGGTGGTGGATGACAACCTCGGGTTTGCCAAGGACCGAACCATCAGCCGCCTGACGGAGATGCAGGTTGGGCGCTGGCTGGGGCAGCACGCCTGTTTGTGCGTCGGGTTTGGTTGGCAGGGGCACAGTCGAGTCGCCTGCCGGCTGTTTTGGCACCCATGCAAGGATGTCGCTGCATGCGTCACATGCCGCCACCACCTGCAGAGCGAGGAGTACCTTCGGGCGCATGCCAAGGCCCACGCCCCCGAGCTGCTGCTAGCGATGAACGAAAACAAGGCGGCGGCGGCAGCAGCAGGAGGGTCGCGGCGATGAGGCTTGCACCAGCAGCAGCAGCAGCACCACGACGGCTCTAGCAGCGGCGCTTATCCGGCTTGCCAGGTTGACTGCATGTCTGTCTTCTCCCTGAGTGATCAGTTCGGTTTACATACACACACTGTGAGCGGCCCGCTCGTGCAGCAGCAGCAATGGAGGCGCCACCGTGCCGTGCACGGAAATTGCTGGGGCGCTGCAGCGGTTGGGTGGCGAGGGCGTGAGAATCATCCAACGCAATTGGTGCTGCACCAGTCGTAGGGCAGGGTGAATTGAGTGGGGGAGGCGGGTGGAGACACTCGCTGGTCCGGCGCTGGGTGCGCTCTCGCTGGTCCGGCGCTGGGTGCGCTCCCGCCAGCCCAGCGGCGCCCGCCTGTAGATCCTCCCGGGTGCCCTCAATCGCTGGTGTCTCTTGCCACTTTGTCCAGCTCTGAATTCCTGTCCATGATTCCTGGGCCAAAGTGCCTGCATTCGTGGGTTGAGAGAGAAGGGTTTTGCCGGGGAGCTCCTCCAACGCCACAGGCGGCGATGATCGGCCAGCGGCACCTCTCGGCTGAGGCGTCTTTCCCCGTGGTTCACTTGGAGGCAGTAATCACTCGCCAACAAGTCTGTGCTCGTTTCAGGCCTCCGACAGGATTCCTGCAGCTGACTAGCGATGTAGCATCCGAGGCACACGATTAACCAGGCAGGTGCGCGCGGGAAACCCCCGCACCTGACAGAGCTGTGGGTGCGGCCGCCCGCCGGGCCCCGCCCCGGCCCATCTGATGTGAAGGGGGCCTTGCTGCTGGTCAGAGGCCGCATGTGCTGCTGGCCTTGAGCTCCTGCATTTTGCGTGCAATCCAACCTGGAAATCGCTTGGCCTATTACAAGCCCTGTGCCTCCTGCCCCGCGCAGCTCCGGCAAAAGGCCCTGGAGCTGCATGAGCCCGTGGGCCGCGCAGGCCGCCGCCGATCGCTGCAGGCCATCAATAGCAGCGCCAGCCACGGCGGCATCTCCGCCGTTGTGCAGGCTGCGCCAGCAGGTAGGGATGCGGCTGAATTCCTGCCGCAGGTGCAGCTGCGGTGCTCTGCGTGCTGCGGCTGAAGCTGCTGCTGCGTTGCGACTGCCTCTTGCCGCACTCAATGATGCCCGCTCTGGATCGCAGGCAGCCAAGCAAGCGCCTCTACGAGGCGTGCTGGACGAATAGGCTGCTGCACCAGCTGGCTGGGGTTCGCCTTCCTTTCGAGGCAACATGTGGCAGTTGGAGGCCTGGCTGCTGCGGCTGCTTTGGAACACGCGGCGGCGCAGCAGGCGTGCGGTGCCTGCAGTGCGGGTATGGTAGCAGTGAGGCCGCTGGTTGGTTGCCAAACCACCAATTTGCCTTCAAGCAGCCGAGCCACCAATGTGCCTGCAAGCAGATTTATGTGTGTGCGCTGATCAGTGTGCCGTCATCCTCCATGCGTGCAGCAGCTCGTGGCGCGGTCATCTCCTCCTGCATCTCTCCTCGGCCAGAGTGGCCCACCTGCGATTGCGTTGGCGCGAGTCCGCTGGAGTGTGAGCATCAGTGAAGCGGCGGTGAGGCTGGCGGCTGGGTGCCCCGCTGCCCGCAGAACGGGATGCCTGGCAGCTTGTTGGTTGCCGGCAGGCGCTGCCGGCATCGGGCTGCCGCTTTCTTTCCGGCCGTGACTCCTCATCTCCCCTTTACCCCACCCACATCCACACCCAGTCAACGTCAACACCTCCTCTTTTGCACGCACCACACCACACCCGCCAGCCCACACCTGCTGCTCGTCCCCACAGTGTGCGTGCCTTGCCTGCCGCAGAGCGGAGGCCAGGACCGCAGCAGGATAGGCCCGCTCACCCCAATTTGCCTCCACTGACCGCCTGTGGCGCGGCTGCCGACCTGGTGGGTGAGTGCTGTGGGTGCTGCCACAAACGGCAGTGCTGCAGGCTCTGTTTCTAGTCCGACGCCTGCTTCCTGTGCTCACCACCTCTGTACAAGCAAGCAGCAGTATGCTGTGGAAGAGCGCCACTGCTCGCAGAAGTCCCTCTGCTGCACCAAGGGTTGTGCTGCGGTGTGGCGTGCCGAAAGGCATAGTCGACTGCTTCTTTCTGCTCCGCTGCACACACGTGTGTGATTGCAGAGCCGAACAAAACATCCAAAACACGGCACCGATTCCAGCTTTTGCCTGTCGCTCACTCGCGCCGGGCCGCCGCCCGCCCGCCGGCTCCCGCCACCGCCACCTGCGACAGCGGCTGGACTTCTGGGGCCTGCGTTAGCCTGCGAGCTCAGGGCCACTCGACTCGAGCAGAGAAATGCACGGAGACTGGCAGCGCCGGAGCGTACTGGGTGCTTGCAGTACACTTTCTGGAGCCATCCTTGGCCTCCCAGTTGCCTGCCGCATTTCGCCTGAGTGGGGCTCCCGTGCCTTGGAGCATCAAGCCTGCTCATTGGGCGCGGTTGGCCCACGCAAGCACTCCCTTCTCGCTAGGAAGCGCACGGAAATGCGGCCGGCTGGCCAGGAGCCGTCACCTAAGGCTCCAGAGGTGCGCTGGAGGCTGTGGGGGGCAGAGGGCGGGCCTGTGCTTCGAGGTTGAACTCATCTCTTCGCACTTTTCCTTCGCGGCCTTGGAGGCTGCCTGACGAGCTGCAAGGGCTCGAAACGCACTGAAAGGGCAGGCAGCGGCCTCCAGGGTGGCCCCGCCAGTGGCGGCGACCGTCCCACCGCCCCGCTTTCCCGCCAACGGCCTGTTGTCCAAGGCTTGTGCCGACCTCGGCACCAGGTTCTGCTGTCCCTATGATGTGCAGGCCTCGGAGGACCAGCCTGATGCAGCCCAGCTATCAGCGCGCGCACTGGCAGCGCTTGTGATCCGCCCCAGTCTGCCATACAGGGCATGGTTCATTGAACGGAGCCTCCCACAGCCTTCTTTCGCCAGTGGCGGTGTTGCGCGCGCGTTTCACGGTTGCGCGCGGAACGTTCGAGCTAACGGTGCGCTGCAGGCGTCAATTGGGCTGTTATCGGGAAGTGCCTTGCAATCCCAGCCCGAGTGCACTCTACCCTGAAGCTCATGAGATGTCGACCCACCTCCCCTGCAGGGCCAAAGCCAGGGAGCTGGGAGCCCACTCGCAAGTCTTGGCATGGGGGGATTTCGGCTGGGCGCCCCTCTGGCGCAGGCCGTGATAGCGGACGCGGCGGCGGCGGCGGAGGTGGGCCAGTGCGGCAAGGCCTCTCGCACCGCGGCAGCAGGTGCGGAGGCAGAGGCGCAGGAAGCGGCAGAGGCCACGGCAGCCCCGGAAGGACAGCAGCGCTGCCGGAAGAGGCGGCCGGAGGACCAAGATGATGGAACCCTGCAGGCGGCTGCGGCGGATGGGCCTACGGCGCCAGATGGTAACCACCAGGAGTGGTGGCGTCCTGATCCCCTGCTGCACTTCCTGCACTGTCCGGAGTTGGTGATTTCTATGAGCGACTTCTTTTTCGCTGGCAAGCGCCCTACCAGCGCCTCCAGCAAGCGGCGCAAGCTCGACCCTGCGCCGGCCACTGCCGCCTTGCCGCCCGCGGCGGCAGCAGTTTGCGCCCAGAACGGCGCCGCGGCGGCAGCAGCAGAGACGGCCGCCGATGCCCATGGTGCGTGCTCGCCCGACTGCGGCGCCTTTGTGGCAGGCAGGGCGACCCCGGCGGCGCACACGCGTGCGGGCGGGAGGTGGAGCCCGCCGCACAGGAGCCGCTCCGCCCCTCCCGCAGCACAGTCACCGGCAGGGCGCTTGCCGTGTGCTGCGGCCCTGGCGGCGGGCGGGGTCAGCCAGCATGGCGCAAGCTCCATGGCAGCAGCAGCGGCCACTGCGTCGCCCTCCCCATCCCGCGAGCAGGCCACCTCCACGGCGGGAGGCGAGGTGAAGGTGAGACCAGGTGGCATTAGGCTTGGTGGATGCCGCGTGTGCTGCGGCAATCCACTGCTCTGCCGGCAGGCACACGCTCCCGCCAAGCCTGCCGCCCAACGCCCGCACCGCCTGCCTCCTGCAGGGCGCGGCGCTGTGCGGCGCGGCGCGCAGCGTGCTGGGAACGGCGGCAGGCGCGGGCCATGAGCCACCGTTCATCGCGCTGGAGGTGGCGCAGCGGCGCAGGAGCGGCGGCCAAAGCCTCGGCGCTCCCCGCCCTCTGGGCCAGGTGCGTGTGCGGCAGCTGGTCTGCAGCGACCTGGCGATATGTCAGCACTGCCTGCTCCTGCGGCTCGGGTGGGTCAAATGCACCACCACCCTGGCTGCTGCCGCTGGTGGGATGCGGCTCCAGACTATCCAACATGCCGTCCGCCCACCACGCTCCCCTGCATCCTGAACCCCCTGCAGGCTGCTGCGCATGACGCCGTGCGAGATGCAGAGGCTCCTGCCTTCGCAGCGGCAGCTCCGGCAGCAGGCCCGCGCAGGGAGCAGCAGCCTGATCGCCTGCATCTGGCGCCGCCGCCGCCAGCAGCACGCTGCGGCCTGCCTGGCTCACCCCCAGTGCCGTGCGGTGCGGCCCCGGTGGCGGCAGCAGCTCCGCCAGCCGTCCCGGCCCGCCCAGCAATGACTCTGGCACCGGCAGGGGTTCAGACCGATGAGAACGCCCCTCCAGCAGCAGCGACAGCGGCGGGGCCGCTCGCAGGCGCGGCTGCGGCTGCACGGGAAGCTTCCCTGATGGTACTGGCTGGTGTGGCAGCTTCCTGGATGCTGTTGCAGCGGGACCGGGGCGAGGCGAAAGGCGCCGGCCGCTCAATCATGGCGCCTGCGCAGCAGGGCGCCAGGGCCCCGCTGCAGGAGCGCAACCACGAGGATGCTGCGCAGGCCCACGCTCCCGCTGCTGGCCTGCCGTGCCCCCGCGGCGCTCCGTGCAGCATCCAGGCGGCGCGCCCAGCTCATGGCCCCGCAACGCTGCGGATCCCCGGCTCCTTCCGCGGCCCATCCCAGGCAGAGGGTGTGGCCACCTCCCCGGCTGGGAGCCCCGAGGTGAGGGTAGGTGTGGCCCTGGGAAGGAGCTTTGGTATGTGCTCTGGTCTTGCCCCTGCAATGACCCAGCCTGCTGGCGGCCAACTAGCGTCCAGCTCTTGGCGCCATCATGCCACGCGGCACGCGGGCTGCTGCCTCACACCCCCGCCTGCCCCCGCCGCCCCACCTCCCGCCGCCTTCGGATGTCCGCTTTGTTTGGTGGCGGCGGCGCCACGCTGGGCGCTGCCTCAGGTGGCACCTCTGGCAGCCTGGCGCCTGCCCCACTGTGTGATGAACAGCCAACCCTGGGCCCAAAGCCGGCGGAGGCGGCAGAGGCCATGGCGGCACCGCAGGGACAGCAGCGCTGTGGGGAGAGGCAGCATGCGGAGCAAAGCGGCGGAAGCCTGCAGGCGGCTGCGGAGGGTGCACCAGCAGCAGCAGCAGCGGGGCCGCAGGCGGGCAACGCTGCGCAGGCGCAAGCTGTCCAGCTGCAGGGTCGCCCCATGCCATGGGCCAGCCTGCGGACCAGCTGCAGGGCATGCTGGGGACCTACACCCAGCGCAACTCACCGGTGGGTTGCCCTACTGCATGGCGGCGCTCCCCCACCTGCCGCCCTGCTGTGGTGCAGTGCCCGACAGAGCCGCCCAAGGCAGCTGCTGTGCACTCAGCTTGATGGCAGCCCAGCTTCTGCTGGCCGTGAGCTGCAGGTGCCTGCCAGCGGCAGCGGCGGCGCCGGAGAGCCAGGCGTGGCACTGGAGTCCAACCCCGCCAGCTCCCGCCAGCTGCTTGCGGAACAGGTGTGTGGCCTGCTTGCGTGCTGTGAGGGCCGCTGCCAGCCTGCCTGTGGCCTGTGCCTGAGCTGCTGTGCAGCCCGGTGCTGCCCCTTGCTCCACTCCCGCTGCTGGCAGTCAGCAGAGGGAAGGCCGAGGCGGTCCAGGGCTCATTCGACTGCCCTGGCCCTGCCGCCTGCTGCAGGGCGGCCTGCAGGGCGGCGAAGATCACGATGTGTTGATGGAGGATGCCCACGGCCTGCCCTTGAGCTACCACGACGCGGATGGCGGCGGCAGCGCCGGCAGCAGGCAGCAGGCTGGCAGCGGTGCTGCACTGGGCGGTGGCTGGGATGATGATGTGCGTCCCGGCGGCACCAGCCAGCCAGCCTCTCCTGCCCGTTTGGAGCATGAAGGGCAGCAGGTTCAAGGGACAGAGGGAGGGACAGAGAAGGGGCAGGATGCGCAGGAGGAAGAGGGGCAGCAGGTGCAGCCGGCAGAGGAGGAGCCGCAGGTGCAGGGTCAGCAGGAGGAGGTGGAGACGGGTCGGCACCAAGAGGAACAGATTCAGCAGGAGGCGCAGCAGGGGGCGGAGGAAGAGGCTGCAGCAGCTGCTGTGCCAATGCTGCCAGTGGATGCTGTGCCAGCGGCTGCAGCAGGCACAATGGCACCGCTCTGCTGCGCGCAGCGGCGGCGCGCAGCAGCAGCGCCCAGCGCTGGCCCAATGCGGCGCAGCGGCAGAGCGGCGCGGGCAGCCTCAGGCGGCGCCTGCTCCAGCGGCACTGCTCCACGCCGCGGTGTGAATCGGCAGCGTGTGCAGCCGGAGGAGCTGGAGGAGGAGGAGGAGAGCGAGGGCGGTGCCGGTGCTGTGCGAGAAGCAGGGAGTAGCGAGTCGCAGCGTGATGGGGAGGGCGCCACAGACGACGCCGACTTTGACCTGGTGAGCGGCACAGCGGGGTCATGGGCTGCCATGGCCATGCATGTGTACAGCCGCCCCTGCCAGCACCGTACGGTGCGTGTCTGCCCGATCGTGTGACAACGCCTTTCCCAGCAGCTGGCAGCTCTGCCAGCGTGTTTGCCGGCTGCAAGCTCTGGGCCAGCTGGCCGCCTCTGCCGCTGCAGGGTGATTTGGTGCACTCTGGAGCACAGGAGGAGGCGCAGGGTCTCATGGGCCAGTCTGCGCTGCTGGCCGCGATGGCGTACTTGCAGCACGAGGACAACGCTGCTGCCATTATGGCGGCGGCCGTCGCTCAGCTGGTGCGCAATGGTGGCCCTTCGGCTTTGCAGCAGCTGGGCTGCATCCAGCTGTGTCCCCTGTCCTGCAGGCACGTAGTGCCACTGCCACTGGCAGGCTGTTTTTGGACAGCTGTTTTTGGACAGCAGCGCTGCGCCCGTTCCGACATGCGTGCACAACGTGCCTGCTGAGTGTCTTGCAGCCCCTGCATCTGTCCATCACCGACCCCAAGATCAACCTGATGCGTGTGCGCAAGGACAGCGACGATGTGCTGCACGAGATGGGGCTTCAGACAGGGGCTGCATCCCGCTTCTTGGTAGGGCACCAACGTGCTGTGCCTGCTGGCTGTGCGTGTTGGGCGGTGTGTGTGCCACACGGGCGGGCGATGTATCGCTGATGGGCAGCACCTGTGTGTCTTCTTCTGCGCCTGCGCTGCGCAACAATGCACCCCTCCCTTGACACCCTCCTCTCTTCAGCTGGCGGCAGCCTTCGACAGCCGGGATGTGGTCGTGAAGGAATATGGCATGAAGCCTGCAGAGCTGCTGGTGCTCATCCCCTGTGGCATGTGGCTGGTGTTTTACACAAGGTGGGGCCTGGGGTTGGCACCTGGCTGGCCACGCAGGGCTGGAAAGGTTGCGCCAGCCGGCCAGGTGCTCGTTCCGCTAAACTTCCTGTACGTGCACATGGCGTGCCCCGCTCCCATGCTGCCTGCTTCCCCTGCAGCCCAAACAAGGGGATCAGAGCCCGCGGCCACGGATACCTCTGGTTAAATGAGGAGGCTACGCGTGCGCAAGCGGCAGGGCACGAGGCAGCGGTCAAGGCCGCGGTGGCGCGGATGACAGGGCAAAGGGTGAGTGCGCCAGCCAGGAATGGGAGGCTTGGGCGTCAGCGGCGGCAGACACGGACAGCATGCCATGGCAGAGCGTCTGCTGGGGTCCAGTTTTTGGCAGCGCTGGTGGCATGGTTTGCTGTGTTGTGGTATGCTACCAGGTTCGCTGCTGTGTGCATCCACCATGCAGGCAGGACGCACGCGCAAGTGCCTGTGTATGTGGCACACCCCAGCTCCAAGCGGCTGTGGGCGGTGCGCGTGATGACGACCCGCAGCAGTGCCGAGGAGGTGCATGCAAAGCTGCTGTGAGTGCAGCCTTACTAATCAGGCCTTACTTAGAAGGATAGTAGCAGTGGGCGGCGCTCGGCCAGGGCACGCATGGGGAGAGGGGCCGCATTGTGTTGTTGGGTGAGCTTTTTTTCCTAACAGAGTCCAACACAGAGGTTGATTGGTATTGTGTTGTTAAATGATTAGCTGGTAAACAGGGCCAAAGGCATGTAAAGGCACACACACAAGACGCTATGGAACAGGCTGGTTGGGGCCAGCTTAGGACATGCCGCTTGCGCTGCTGGCCTGCTGCGGGCCGCCGCCGCCGCCGCGCCGTTGCTCCAGGATGCGCCTCAGCTGCCGCAGCTCCGCCACCTCCACCCCAGCCGGCTTCCCCAGCTCCAGCTTGGCCTGTATCATGAGCAGCAGGTGGCGGAAGGCCAGCCGCAGCGCCGGCAGCTCCTGCGGCAGGCGCAGGCGGGGCAGGCGGCGGCCGGGTGAGGCAGGCGGCGGCCTGGTGAGCAGGTGGGGCCGTAGTGTCACACGGTGTGCATGGGGGGTGCAAATAGCATGGCTGGCAACGGCAGCCCGGCCCAGCTGCAGCCCATGGTATGGCGCTGGGCAACCCGCTGGTCCACAGATAGCAAGGGCATGGGGTTGTGGAGCGGTTGTGGAGAGCAGAGCAGGTCCCTTGCCCACCTCCTTCCTCATCTCCCGCTCAGCATACGCTAGCAGCTCCTGCAGCTCCTGCCTCTGGGCCTGCACCGGCAGCAGCCTCCGGCGGCGGCGCATCGGAGCATACGCGAGCCCTGCAGCGCCGGCGCCTCTCATGCTGCGGCCGCATGCTGGCGCTGGAGCGGCAGCCGGCGGCAGCTTCTGCCAGCCAACCAAAACCACAAAAACGCCGGGCAGGCTTGTGAGCTGAGGTGGGGGCCAAGCTCCGCCTGGCTGGGGCCCTCCTGCCGCCTACCTCTCGCATCGCAGCCTGCCCTGCCTGCGGCTGCACCTCCACATTCACCTCGCACACGGCGTCGTGGGGCGGGTCGGGGCCGGCCGCGCGATACAGCTCCGCAACCTGCACGGTGCCATGGTGCCAGCAGCAGGCGTGCCGGGAAGGCTCAGCAAGCGAGAGCAGGCCTGGGCGGCAGCCACCAGAGGCACCAGTGGCAGGCACGTGGGAAGGGGAGTGGGCACCCGTCCAGACAGAGCACCGGTGCCTTCCAGCCTCCCTGCGCCTGCCCAATGAGGAGCTGGCCTGGCGAGCTCACCTCATCCAGCGCCAAGTAGCGCTTTCCGCCAATCACCGTCACCAGCCGGTCGCAGCTGGATGCGGCACGCTGCCCCCACTCCCGCTGCCCCTGCCCTGGCGCCTGCGGCGGGCCGCCAGCGGCGCCGGCGCCGGTGCCGTCACGGTCGGCGGCTGCGGCCCCAAAGCCTTGGGTGCGGCGGATGGGCGCCTTGATGGCTCGAGGGCTGGGCGTGGCTGGTGCCTGTGCAAGCAAGCCAGCAGGCGTGGGCCATGGACCTTGTCAGCACGCTGCGCTGGCGGCGCCTGATTCCCTGGGTTGCACCCGCGTGAAAGCGCCAGCGGCTACCACCGTGCGGGAGGCAAGAGCAGCGGCAGCGGCCTCAGGCAGGCAGGCAGCCAGCTGTCAGGCTGCGTCCTGTCACCCGCAGGCTCATCGTGCAGGCGGGCGACCCTCCCTGCTGCCCCAACCTTGGAACCGCCACAACTGCGCACTGGCGAGGCTCTGGCGCTGGGGACGAGCTGAGCGATGGAGGGCGGCATGCTGCTGGAGAAGGAAGACTCCAAGGCAGCTCAATGCCGTGGGAGGGTTGTAGTAGCAGCGCGCCAGCCTGGCGGGCGCCGAGGCCGGAAGGCACCCGAAAGGGCCTCACCCGTGCAGCTGTGCTTTGAGACAGAAGCTCGCTGTGTGTTGTGCCAAGAGCTTGGAGAGCTTCCTGCTAGCACTACCCAACTGTGCCGCAGGGGCTGCGCGCGGGGGCGCGCCGCATGCGGCCGGACAGAGGGCGGCGCACGTGTCACGCCGCCCCGCCTGCCGCAGATTTCCCCTGGACGTCTGTTGCGGTGGCGGCTGGGTGGCTGAGCTGGTTAGCTGAGTGGAGGTCCATCTGCAGCCCATGCCACACGCATGCGTGCGGCGCGTCCAGCGTGCACACGTGTCCAGCGGTGTCCCTCGGCCAAAAGGTGGCGGGACACCGAGCGCGGGAGCCAAACGGGGCTATGCAGTGGGACCCACAAGGAGCACAAGGACACGATGCCTGTTGGGAGCCGAGATGATGCTGAGCCCTGCCCTGCACAGCCCACTGACCTCCCGACCTGCAAGAGCGGCGGCGCCCCACCGGCGCACACCGGCAGCCCCACGGCGGGTGCCGCTGGCGGGCAGGCTTGCGGCTGCGGCGTTACAGCGCGGACTGGGTCCCCTTCGTCGCCTGCCACGCCAAACCCGTGAATAATGCCGCACGTATCAACCATTTAATAGGCTGGCCACGCCCTCTGAAAGTCCCCCAAGTGGCAGCTAGGGAAGTGAAGCAGGGGTGGGCTGCCTGCCTTGAGGCTGATCGTCACGGTGCCAGTGCAGCCGCAGGTGCGCCAGGCCCTCCAGCCGCGGCCAGTTTAACGTGGCGTACTCCGCGCCTGCGCAGGACTGCGGTTTCTCCGGCGACCAGCCCGCTCAGGGGGAGCATGGTCGCTGCCTCCGCGTAGATTTCTAATTACAGGGCTCGTCCGCACAAGGCACCCAGGTGGGGACGCCGCTTCCCCCCACAGCGAAGTTGCCAGGCGGCGCTTCCCCTCTTCGCAGTGTCGACGCCGGGGCGCCCCCAGGAGCTTGCTGAAGGCTTGTTGGGCGCAGCGGAGGCAGCCCTCTGTACAGGCTCCATACGGGAACAGCGGCGTGGGGGCCTCCCTGCGGCCGCTCCCGTCGCCTGTGCGGCGTCAGAGGCACCTACACACACGGCAGCATGCGGCGCCAGAGTCCTGCGACGTGTCAGGCGAGTGGCGGGTGGTCCGCCGCCGGCCCGCTCGCGCGCCGGCCCCCGCCAACGCCCCCGCTGCCTGGCTGCAGGTGGAGGGCTGCCCCATGGTCCTTGCCAACCTGAGGAGCTACTTCCTGCGCCAAGATCTGTGGTGCGTGATTGGGGGTGCTGCGCTTACCTGGGGGCGTGGGGACGTGGGTGCTAAGGCGGGCGTCAGCAGGGCTGGTACAGACCGGACCGCCCGCCGCACCAACGCCCCCCACCGCCGTGTGCACCCCGCCGGCGTGCCATACGCCCCTCTGCACGCTCCCCCGCTTCCAGCCCGCTGTTCTTGCTGCCAGCGAGGCCGCTGAGGCACGCCGCCGCCGCCGCCAGCGCAGCCCAAGCCCAGCAGGGGGCCTGCCTGCTGGGCGAGCGGGCACATAGGCGGCGCACCAGGCACGCCTGCTGCCCCCCGCACGCCACGACCAACATACCCCCCGCCGGCCCCCGCGCCTGCCCTCCCGCCCCGCTGCCCGGACCGCAGAGGAGCACGCGCGCGCGGCGGCGGTGCCCGACGGCCGCGGCGACTTCCTGCGCTTCTGCCAGCAGTGCACCAAGCTGGAGCCGGTGTCGGCGTTTGAGGGGTGCGCGCCCGGCCCGCTGGCTGGCTGGGCTGTTGTGGGGGTGGCAGGCCGGCCGGCTGGCTGGCTGGCTGGCGATGCGGGGCTGGTTGGGAAGGGCGACTGGCTGGGGAGGGGCGACTCGCATCGGGTGGAGCTGGCAGCAGTTGGTGGCAGGTTGGGAGCTGGCTGGCTGCGGGCTGGGCCCGAGCCTCGCACTTAGTGTGACAGTCACCCCCGCCTCGATCGGCCAGGGCCGCTTGGCTCGCCCAGGTTGCTGTCCCTGCCCCCACGGCGCGCCGCCGATCCACCCAGGTTGCTGTCCCTGCCCCCACGGCGTGTCGCCGATCCACCCCGCCGCCGCGTCCCACCCCGCCCTGCTTCCGCTCTCCGCCTGGCCCGGGCGCAGGCCCAAGCGCTCGTGCCACGCCAGCCTGATCAAGCGGCACGACCGCCACCGCCTGCGCGGCAAGCGGGACAGCGGCGACTCCCAGCCGGCGCGCTCGCTGCGGCGGCGCGCCGACCAGGCACACCCCTGGGCCGGCGGCGACGGCAGCAGCGGCGGCGGCCGCGGCAGCGCCAGCCCCGGCAGCACCGCCTCGCAGCAGCTGGCCAGCACCTCGGCGCCGCCGCGCCAGCAGCAGCAGCAGCCGCTGCAGCCGCCGCCGCTGCCCCTCAGCATCCTGCAGGCGCTCGGCTCCCAGCAGCAGCAGCTGCTGCGGCCGGTGGCGCACCACGCCGCCGCCGCGCCCTCCCCAGGCCTGGGAGCCGCAGCCAGCGGCAGCGGCACCCTCCCAGACCTGGACCAGCTGCTGAGCCGGCTGAGTGAGTGGGCTGAGTCCTGCCGGGGGGGCGCCCTGCCTTTGGCTGCAGGGGGCCTGTGCTGCTGCCAGCTGCGCCTGCGCCTGCGCCGGCTGCCCTGCTCGCGGCGCCGGCCTGATAGTGGTTTTGTGCCCACCCGCCAGCCCCGCTCCCCGCCCCTGCCGCAGGCTCCGGCGCGCCGGCCCCCTCGCCGCCGCCTCAGAGCCAGTCTATGTTTGCTGCCTTTGGCGGCGGCGGCGGCGGCGGCGCGGGCCTGCTGCAACAGCAGATGGGGCCGCTGCTGGAGGCACTTCGCGCCGCCTCGGCGGCGGGCGGCTCGCCCATGCCGACGCCGCCCGCGGCCACGCCCCAGCCGCAGGCGGCCGCGCTGCTGCAGGCGCTGGTGCCGCCCCACGGCGCCGCCGGCGAGCTGCGAGACCTGCTGCAGCTGCTGCGGCTGCTGCAGGCGCAGCAGGCGGCGGTGTGTGCGCGGCTGGAGGAAATGGCGGGCGGCGGCGGCGTGCCGCAGCACCAGCTGGCGGAGCTGGGCGCCGCGATGGCTCCCTCAGCACACCTGGAGCAGCGGCTGCGGCTGCCGCTGATGCAGCTGCTGGCGCAGGGGCAGGCGCAGCAGGCGGCGGGCGGGGAGGCGACTGCGGGCGGCGGCACGGGCGCGCCGCCGCCGCCGCTGCCGCAGCCGCTGCCGCCGCCGTCGGTGCAGGCGTCGGTGCCGCTGCCCGCCGGCGGCGACGGCGAGCGGCAGCAGCTGGCGCTGCGCCAGCTGTCGGGGCAGCTGCCAGGGCAGGCGCTGCCCAGCCTGCCAGACGGCGGCCAGGCCGGCGCGCAGCAGCAGCACCTGGGCAGCCTGCTGCAGGCGCAGGTGCAGCAGGCGATGCAGGCGGCGGGGCTGGGGCCGCAGCTGCTGGGTCTGGCGGCGGCGCAGGCCGGCATGGGCCAGTGGGCCTTCAGCCCGGCTGATGCGGCGGCGATGCTGGCCGCTGCCGTCGGCGGGGCGGGCGGCGCGGGGGCGGGAGCGCCCTCGGCGCCGCCTGCTGTCCCCAAGGCGGAGCCTGCAGCGGCGCCGCCGCTCGGTGCCGCGGCAGGTGCGACACCCGCTGAGGAGCAGCTGCGCGCCCTGCTGGGGCGGCTGACGGGCACTCTAATGCCGCCGCCGCAGCAGCAGCAGCCGCCGCCACTGCAGCTCCTGCAGCAGCAGCAGGAGCAGCACCAGCAACAGGAGCAGCTGCAGCAGCAGCTGCACCAGCAGCAGCAGATGCAGCAGCAGCCGCAATAAGGGGCACAGCCGCATGACACACCTCGTCCCAGCCACCCCCCAGGCACACCAACCGCCCCTTCTTGCCTCTCCTCTTCTCATGATATATCTTCGTGGTTTCACGCCCACCCATATCTCCCTATTAGCCTGTCACTTGTCTCTCTTGCGCACGCTGGGCCTGCCGCATGGCGGCATCCATCCCACCAGGAGCCCCTCCTCCAGCCAGAGCCCCTCCTCCAGCCTCGGACGCCACAGCCATCTCTGCCTCGCCCCGGCCGGGCCCCTCATCCGGATGGGGACCCCGGCTGTGCATCCCCGGCACCCCGCCCGCAGGTGTTGCCCAGCCCTGAGCAACGCCTTGCATGCCACCTGCCCCACTTTGTTGAATGCCCAACACAACCGAATTGCCCGTCGCGCCACTCTGCTTTCATGTCCAGCCCAAACTTTCAGCTACCATGGTACAGCGCAGCTGCAATGTACCCTGCCGTTGCAGCTGCCCTGCAGGGCGCCGCCTGTAGCAATCTGTGTGTCCCCCTCTCTCTTCTCTCCATCTCTCACTCACTCTCGCTCCCTACCCAATTCTTTGACAAACCGATGCAAATGGCTTCGCTATGTAGCACAGGCACACAACATACAAGGGAAGCGTCTCTAGAGCTCATTTGCCGTGGCAGGGAGCAGCCAGGCGGCAGCGGCCGCCTCAAGGCGCCCGCTTGGCGCCCGCTGGGCTGCGCCCGCCGCCTGCCGCCACCCTGGCGGGCCCGGGCGCCGGCGCGGCCCGTGGCCGCGACACGCGCTTGCGCAGCAGCCACGCGCAGCAGGCGCCGCGTACCAGCCAGTTGAGTGCCTGCGCAGAGACGGGAGAGCACAGCCAGCCGAAAGCAGAGCAGCACTGAGGACCATGGGGATGCACCAGCACCGCCCCCACAACCACACAGATCCCCGCCCCTGGCCCAGCCCGCGTCAGAGGCGTCGCCCTAACATCCTCGCGCCGCCGGGACTTCCCTGGAAGCAGGCGCCTGCCCCCTGCCCCTGCCGCACCCTGCAATGCCATAGGCGGCGGCACGCTTGCCACGGGTCCGCCCGCCTCCCGGCACAAAGGCGCTGCCCACCTGGCAGTTGCTGCAGACCAGGGCCAAGCCCAGCAGCTGCGCCAGCCAGGGCGCTGCCGCCACCGCCGCCGGCCGCAGCTGCACCGCCATGCAGGCGCAGATGAGCGACAGGCCGGTGCCGATCCTGCGGCAGCGGGGTTTGGAGGTGGAGGTGGGGGTGGTACGGGGGGCGGCAGGTATGGGGCGGTGAAGTGCATGGGGCATGGGGAGACTGCAGCAGGCGAACATTTTCTGCATATTTGTGCAGCAAAACGCCGGCAAGCCACGCATGTGCCTGCCGGTCCTGCAGCCGGCAGCCCGAGCAGCGGCGGCGGCCGGCCCCACCCTGCCACAGCGGCCATCGCCACGACGACAGTGCCCCACAGCTCCCTACAAGAGCAGGCAGGAGCAGAGGGCGGGGAGGGTGGGTGGGCTAGCGCCGAGGCGGCTCCACGCCGAAACCGGCCGACGGCTCATGCAGGCGGGAGAGGTGGTGGGCCGGGGGCAGGCCCCAAGCGTCTGCCGCTCGTCCTGCTCCCCGCCAGCCTGCATACCACCGCCACCCGCACCCAGTCTACCGCCAAGAGGGGACGAGCCGGGGAGCCGGGTGACCCCTGCTCTTGCCACCCACCGGCCCCCAAACAGCTCCCCCCTCCCAGCTCACTTGGGGGGCGAGACGGGGATGTGGGTAAGCAGCAGCTCCAGCACGGCGGTGGAGAGGACGGTGATGGAGGCGAGGAGGGCGACGCAGCAGGCGGCGGTGGCCAGCGGCACCAGGATGCAGGAGGCGCGCACGAGCGCCACCGCCGGGCGGCTGCGCATCCAGGCCTGGCCGCGCAGCAGCAGGGCCGCCCCCGCCGCGCACAGCGCCAGCAGCAGGGCAGAGAAGTGCGGCTGCACTGTTAGGGTGCAGGGGTCTGGCGGCGCGCCGCCGCTTCCGGCACCGTCGGCCTCCCCCGGCTGCTGCAGCGTGATGACAGAGTCGCCCATGGCTGGCACGCCGACGGAGCAGGTGCCTGGCAGGAGCGGCGCGACGGTGGCGCCGCTCCCCTGCTCGCTGCCGTCGCTGCCAGCGCCGCAGTGGCGGCGCCACTGCCAGGACACGGCGCTGCCTCCCTGAGCCGATACGCTCTGCCGGCCGCCGCTCACAGACACCCAGAATTCCTGCGCTCGCCAGGGAGCAGGGTGCAGGGCTTTCGGCTGGCCCGCTCAGCCGATAGGTGGGTGGGGAGGAGGCGGCAGCGGCGGCGGCTTGGCGGGGCGGTCTTGGGGCGGCATCATTTGCACCCGCTCCTTTCCCGCACGCCTGCCACCCACCCACGAGAGCTCACCGAGCTGCTGGGGCAGGTCACGGCCACCGATTGCGCCGTGAAGGCGTGTCTGAGGCCCGCCAGCCCCGGCAGAGCGACGCCGTGCAGGGAAATGGTCTGCACACAAGATCCATCGCGCTGTTGCTCAAGCGTGGGCCCAGCAGCCTTCGCCCGTGCCACTTGACTCTGCTGGCTTCTGGCGCCCTGCAGCGGCGTGCAAAACGCCAGAACCAGCGCCAATAGCAGCAATCGGTGCATTGCAGCTAATGATGATTGCTCGCGGAGGAGCTGCGCAGGGGTTGAGATGCCGCCGACAGCACAGCGTGCGCAGCAGGCGGCCGGGCGGGCGCCCTCATGGCTGTGGGCTGATGGGGGCAAAGTGTTGAGCGGCGCCTCTGGGTAGCGCGGGCCAGCGCCAGCCAGCCAGCTGGCGCAGCTGCAGCATCAGCTGGTAGGCTGGCGTGCATCACCGCCACCACGAGCGCCGCCGCCGTCGACGCCGGTCCCGCTTCGAAGCTCTCTGCCCATCGACCCATCCTTCTTCTGTCTGTCTGTCTGTTACACCCATAAGGAGCAAGCGAGCAAGTTAGTGAATGCTGCAACCATACATGGACGAAGCTTATGAGCGGCCTGAAAGCACGGGCGACTGCCAGGACTGCCAGGGAGAGAAAAGCCACGATAGAACCGCCAGCAGGGTGGGCGGGTCAGGCCGTCAGCATGTCATCCACCTTGAGCGGCAGCTGCTGCACCGCCGCCGCCTTGCGACTCCTGGTGGTGGTGCCAGCCGCCTTGCCTGCCGCGCCCCGGGGCGAGGCACGCCTGCCACCGCGCTTGCCAGCCACAGCCGCAGCTGCCGCTGCCTTGATGCCTGCACTGGGCTTGGAGCGCTTGGCCACGGCAGAGCCCTCACCGGCATCGGCATCGCCGCCCTGCCTGCGGCGCTTGCTGGCCCCACCAGCAGCCGCAGGGGCAGGCTCGGGTGCCGCCTTCGGAGCTGCAGCAGCAGTGCTCTTGCCCCGGCCGGCTGCGGGCTTCCTGCCGCGCTTTGCCGGCTCCGGGGCAGCCTCAGCTGAGGCCTCTGGGGCGGGCTCGGAGGCTGGAGCGACCGACGGCTTGCGCCTCTGGGCTGCGGCCCTCAGCTTGCCGGCCGCCGGCGCCGGCGCCGGCGCCGCCTCCGAGCAGTCCCCCGCCACTGACACCTCGGCACTCTGCTCCCTGCTCCCCGCCTGCTGCTCTAGCTCCGCGTCGCTGCTGCTGGCGCCGGCACCGCCCGCGGCCTGCGGCGCTGCCTCTGCAGCTGCAGGCGACGGCAGCTTGTAGGCCCGCACCAGCGCCGCTTGCAGCGGACCCTCCCGCCTGCCGCGCGGGTGCAGCGCGGCCGCCACGCCTGCCATGCTTGCGGCAGAGTAGCAGCGAAAAGCCTCTGAGGCCGCACCCTGGGAGCTGTCGCCGGCGCCGCCGGCCTCGGCGCCGCCGCAGCACGTCCCCTCGGGCCCCGCAGCCTGCACCACGATGCCGCCCTCCCCTGCATCCACCGAAACAGGAAGGCAGGGGATCAGCACGCAGCCTGAGCAGCCGTCTTCCAACAGTGCATGCACCTAAGGTTTGCCCTCCAGCATGCACCTCCCAAAGCCTGCCAAGCAGGCTTGTTGCTGAAACCAGGCTGTCAGATCCCGGAACATGCACCCCACAATGGCCCGCAGCAGAGGCGGGGAGCATTCGGGAGGGCCCAGCTGCAGCAGGAGAGGTGCACTCACTCGCAAACAGCGGGGCCGCCTGCAGATGCAGGTAGCGGCGGCCGTCGCGGTCGGCACCCACCACCGCGGCCCGCACGGTGGGCGGGTGCACCTTTTCGGTCAGAGCCCTGACCTTGGCGGCGGCGGCTGCAGGGGAGAGGGCGGGAGGAGGCGGCCCCCGTTAGTGCGGTTGAGACTCTCCCGACTCCTGCCGCAGCGGCAGCCTCCTAGGGACGGAGGCGCCTTTGAGCTCGGCGGGGCGCCACAGGCGGAGCTGGCGCAGGCGCAGGAAGGCAGGCGGGCACTCGCCTGTATGGGCCGCCGCCTCGGCCCGCTGCCGCGCCTCCTCCAGCATCCGCTGCTGCTGCTCCAGCGTCAGGCCGCCGCTGGAGGCGCTGCACGAGGCCATGGGGCGGGGCCACAGCACGGCGCACAACAGGCATGAGCGCCAGCAGCCTGCTTTGCTGAGCCTGCCTGGCTGCCGCAGGTTCTGCTGCGGATATGCAGACAGACGTACACAGACCCCCCCAAACAGCATTCCCGCCTGCCCCACCGCGCAGCGCAGCCGCCCCCTCCCCTCACTTGGCAATCATGAGCGCGATCTGCTGGTCGCGCTCCCTGGCAACTGCCACGCGCGCCTCCTTGCGGACCTGCAGGCGCAGCAGCGGGGCGGGGCGGCGCTCGGCCTCCGCACGAGGCAGGCGCAGCCGACTTGCCGGCTGGAGGCTGGCCACCGCTGGCCTGGCCCCGTGGCATTCACTCGCGCCACACGGGTGTCACAGACAGAAGCTTCCACCGGACAGAGCTTCCTACAGGCAGAAACGTGCGGGGAGCTCTCCGGCCAGGCCCCGGCGGAGGCGCCTCACCCCGGCCAGCTGCTGCCTGCGCTCCTTCTCCTCATCCAGGGCGTCGCCCATGCTCTCCTCAATGCAGTTCCTGCAGCGAAAAGGAGGAGGGCACAGGGCAGGCCGGCAGCAGCCGGCGCTTCAGCTCAGCTCAAACAAGGGAAGCCGGGCGGGGTGCTTGACAAGCCCCTCGGCAACAAGGATGAAGGAAAGCAAACACAGCACACAGGCGGCCAGCCATCTGGGCCGTTGCCTCCCGCGAGGGCCCTCGCCCCGCCCTCCCGCCTGCCCACCTGAGCTCCTCGCACTCCAGGGCGTCGTGCACCAGCGCATGCAGCATGGCCACCCGCGCCGCCGCCGGCAGCGCCCAGTAGCCGCCGGGCGGGTACTCGGCGCTCGCGGCGGCCGCGGCGCCGCCTGCGGGCAGGGCAGCAGGCACCGCCGGCGGCGCAGCGAGGCCTCAAGTGCGGCACGGTCGGCAGAAGCTGGGTGGGGGCAAGCGCCCGAGAGAGCAGGCGGCATGCGCATTGGGATAGCGTGCCGACAGGGGCCGCCGGCAGCGCGGGCCCTGCCCGGCGCCGCTCATCGGCAGGCACGCACCTGCCCCGACAGCCGCCTCCAGCTCCGCCTCCTCCAGCAGCACCTCGCCGTTGCCCTCGCCGCCCACCACCTCCTCCTCGCCCTCCTCCTCCTCCGCCCCCTCTGGCCGCACAGGGCGAGTGAAGATCTCGCCGGCCACAGCGGGCGGGCCGTGCTGCCAGCGCAGGCCGAGCGCCTGGCGGTGGGTGAGGTGGGACGCCGCATAGTACCCGCGCATCGTGCCCTGCCAGCTGGCGGGCGTGGCGGCGCCCTTGACATTCCAATACGCACGCACCTGAGGCAAGGGAGGGCAGAGGTGCCAAGCTGGGCAGGCGGGTGTGTGTTTATGTGTAGAAGGGGTGAGGATTATGTTTATGGTGGTGGTGGTGGACGGATGGGCCCTCCCTGGGCGCGGGCAGAGACAAGCGGCATGTGCATGCGCTCCAGCCGCTGCCGGTACCTCGCCGCTGTGCAGCTGCCCCGCTTCCCCGCTGGCTGGCCTGCCAGAAGCCACGGCCCCCGCCACACTCACCACATCCAGCAGCCTGCAGTGCACCGCCGCCACCAGCGAGTCGTCCGGGGAGGGGCACAGCAGCTGGGGCGCGCCGACCCCTTCCTCCAGGGGCGCCTGCAGCAGCTCCGCCGCAAAGGCCGCCAGCGAGGGCGCGCGCAGCTGCAGCTTGGCGCCAAACACCTGCACGGCAGCGAGGCGGCGGCGGGGTGGCGCGGTGCAGCATGCCGCAGTGGTGGGAGCAAGGGGAGTAAAGCGCATGGCAGAGCCGCAGAGGTAGGGAGCAGCGAAAATTGCAGCCGCCAGGCGCCCAGCGACAGCAGAGAGCAAGGTGTAGCGCAGCGTGCCAGGCCGGAACACCCCAAGCCGCTGCAACTGTACTGCAGTACTGCAAACCGTACCTGCAGGAACTCCAGCACCACCACCAGCTCAGCGCCCGCCTGGCCCTCGGGCAGCGCCGTCGCCTCTGGCACGCCTGCCACCCACGCCAGCCCGCCGCGCGGCCGCTTGCCCGCCGCGCCGCCGCCACCGGCAGACTTGAGGGCTGCCAGGGGCTGGGCCTCCTGCAGCAGGCGGGGGCCGCGGGGCGCCCCAAGGTGAGCAGCAGCGCCGGGCAGCAGCATGCATGCTGGGCACGGCCGCAGGGTGCTGCACAGGCAGGCGAGGGCCCGTCAGGGGGCAGCCCAGCAACAAGTTCTGTACTACTACAAGTTCTGTACTACAAAGAAAGGCAAAATAAAGTTTTTACGCGCACCGGCATCGCCTGCTCCCGCTCCGGAAGCTCCTCATCCGCCAGAAGCTCCAGCTCAGCGGCCTCCTCCGCCGCCTTGCGCTTCTGAGAGGGCCGCTTGCGCGGCTGCAGCGGCTCGCCCGCGAAGCCGCCGCTCGCGCCGCCGCTCGCGCCGCCACCAGCGCCGGCAGCGGCGGCAGAGGGGGCCGAGGGCAGCTTGGGCAGCTGCAGGGCCTTGGCGTGGGGGTTCTTATCCAGCAAATCCTTGACTGCAGGCAGCAGGAGCGGCGGGAGGGAGATGGGGCCACTTTAAGCGATGGCAGGCAGGGGCAGCCAGGCCAGCCAGCCGAGTGATCACCGGCCCGCCTGCGGCGGCAGAACAGCAGGGGACAGCAGGGCTGCAGCCGCCGGGGCGCACCCGACCCAAAGCCCGCCTTCTTGGCGATCCCCGCCAGCTGGCCCGTGGCCTCCTTGCCCGCCTTCTGCATCATGTAGGCAGGCAGGCAGGCAGGCAGGCAGTCAAACAGGCAGGTCCAGGTGTGGCAAGCGGCAGGCAGGCAGGCAGGGTGCCAGCCGTCGGGGCAGGTGGCGCAGGCTTAAGGAGGCGTGGTCCCTGCGCCGCTGCCACACGGTCGGCAAACGGGCAAGCGGCATCCCAGCGCCCATCGCATCACCTCGCCCTCCTCCACCCTTCCTGCCCACCACCACCACACACACACACATGCTGCTCAACCAGAGACAACCACCGCCACCTCTCCGCGCCACTCGCCTTGCGGCAGTTGGAGCAGTTGCAGTCGCCCCGGCACCGCGGGCAGCTCCAGCCCGGCCGCGCATTCACCTCCTCCACCCGCTCCTGGTAGCGGTTCTCCAGGCACCTTTTGGGGCAGGGCGGGTGCAGGCAAGTTGAGGGAGGCATCAGGGGCAGGCGGGCAGGGCGGGCACACGCCTGGACATGCTGGTAGCAGGTGGCAAGACCAGATGGCGACCAATGGCGCATCTGCAGCGCCTGCCTGCGCAGGCCCGGCCAGGCCCTGTGCTCACTTGGGGCAGAAGTGCAGCGTGCAGCGGGCGCACTTGGCCTTCGTCTCTGCCGTCTTCTGGCGGCACTGCAGCCGCCAGCCACGACCACACACATGCGTGCCGCTTTCACTCGGCCTTGATTGACACGTGCAGACACACACACGCAACACTTGAACACACATCGTTCCACCGTGCACACTGAGTGCTGGCACCCACCTGGTGGCAGGTGGTGCCGTTCTCGCTGTCGTACACCCGCCCTCCCTGCACGGTGGCATTGGTGTTGATTGCATCGATGTCTGCACCCACCAAGGTTTCAGGCGAGGCAAGGGGGAAGGCTGCTGCGCAGCGCAGGGAGCGGCGGCAGCGGCGGGCCACCCACCGGCACCTGCGGCTGGCTGGGCCGAGGTGCACCCACCTGCACGCGGATGCCGGGGTTGTTGTTGCGCTTCTTCTTGGGCACGGCGGCCAGCTGCTGGGGATCATCGGCAGGGGGTGCAGCCGCCTCCTCTGCAGGATGGGCACAGTCACCAGGCGGTGCGGCGGTCGGCGGCGGGCGACGCTGAGGCAGCAGTGCCCGGCAGCCTGCGGCCCTCTGCCGCTGGGAGCCTGCTCCGGGCAATGCGCGCTGCCCTCACCTGGCTGCGGGGCCGCCTCGGCCGCCTTCTTGCCTCCCTTCTTGGCGCCAGCTGCGCTTTTGCCAGTGGGGCCAGCCATTCTCGGCCTGTGCGCGTCTGCGGATCGTTCGAGACCGCCCAAGCCACTTGACGAGCCTGTCAGACAATCAGGGATCCCGCAGCGGGGGATGGGCACTCGGAAACCACCCGCGCTGTTGATCGGAAGCCCCACTCAAAAACTGGGCTGACTGGTAGCGTGTGCGTGCCACGGATCTGCGCCAGGCGACCGGCAGGCTGCTGGCACGGGCGCTGCGATCCGGAGCCCGCCGAATTTGCTGCCCGAAGAGAGCCTGCAGGACACGGCGCCGTACAATTGCTGTGGAAGCCAACCACGGGCTCCTGCGCCTTTTGATGCATTCCATCGCGCCATCGAGGTAGTGGTTGCTCGGCTGGCATCGCTGCCTGGAGCTCTTGGGAGAGGCCCCCTGATGGCAGGGATGGGCAGGCGCCGGGCCTTCCTGCTGGCGATGCTGCTGTGTGCTGGACTCCTGATCCCAGGCGCGCGAGCGCAGGAAGACGATGGCGATGCGGACCCCCAGGCAGCGGGCGGCGACGGCGCCGGCAGCGTGCCGGCAGGCGCCGGCAGCGCGCCTCGCCCGCCTTTTGTGCAACTCAAGGAGCAGGACAGCTGGGTGCTGGAGGGCTGCGCCGTGGCATTCCTGCTCGCCTTCCTCGTCAACTTGGCAGTAGGCCGAGGACGCAACGAGCGCCTGGCGGTGGCCTGGACTACAGAGGTGATTGGGAGCAGGCTGAGGCTGAGTGGCGCATTGCAGCAGGGCACGGGAGCCGGGCAGGCTGCCAGCCAGCTAGCAGCAAGTCTGGGAGAGCAGAGGCAGCGGAAGCTTGGCGGCTGGTGATGGCCGCAAAGTTGCCACAAAATTGCCGCCCTTGCTCGATCCATGCGCACCCCTGCCCTCGTCCTGCCCTGCCGCGCAGCTGGTGGCGCCAGATGGCGTGCTTGACCGCAACTTTTCCCTGCTGGGCCCCGGGGACACAGAGGTGAGCACACTGGGCCATCCAGCTTGCTCCCTCTCCCACACACATCATCCCTCGCGCCTCTTGGCCGCCCCTCCCACCCTTCTCCAAATGCGGCGTCTCCCATTCCCAACTCCTCCCTTCCAACCCTCCGTAGTTGATCCCCGCCCCCTGCAGGCTGGCGAAGTGCTGCTCAAGGACAGCATGCACGTCTACAAGTTCTGGGCAAGCGGGCGGCGATTCTGCCAGGTGGGCGCCAGCTCAGCGCCTTTATCTCGCCGAGCGCCTTGCACCCGCCCACACACACACGCACACAAGCAAGCAGGCATACACAGTGCACCACACATGCCCCTCTCTCCCCGCAGGGCCTGCTGGCCACGCTGCAGCTGGTGCGGCGCCAGGACCTGCTGGCCTACTCGCTGCAGCTGGTGCGGGGCCAGAAGGACGTGATGGAGCTGGAGGTGGGGCGTGAGGCTGAGGTGGCGGGCTGCGCTGTGGGCAGAGGTGGTGGAAAGGGAACAGAAAAAGGGACAGGAAAGGGAACAGAAAAAGGGAGCGTACAGGCTGTGCCTGTAGGGCACGGGTGGAGGTGCAGAGGGGGCCGGGCAGAGGGGTGCAAGGAGGGCTGGGTGTGCGTGATGGAGGTGGGGGTGAGGTGGCGGGCTGAGGTGACGGGGTGGTACGTGGAGGGAGGCGGGGGTGGGCGGGCGGGGGGTGGGCGTGCATGTGCGCCAGGTCAACCTTCTGTGCTCCGCTCCCCGCTGGCGTGCCTTGGCAGCATGGTGTGCCGGGAACAGAGCGTACCCTCACCCTGCCCCGCACCACCCACTCCCATACCCCTCACCCACCCCTCCACTCCCCACCCCTCCCCTCCCCTCCCACCCCTGCCGCAGCTGCGCATGAGCGAGGGGTGCATGCCGCCGCTGGTGCTGGCCATCGCGCCGCCGCCCGTGGCCCGCACCATGCAGCAGGATTCGGCAGACGTCAAGGTGGGGCTGGTGCCGTGTGTGTGTGTGTGCGCGCGCGCGGGGCTGGGTGGGTGGGTGGTTGTGTGGGGGCGGGGGGTCAAGAGCCGGTGGGCTGCTTGGCAATGCGGTGCGTGGTTGTGAGGTGTGGGGCCGGCGGCCGGCGTATGGGCCCAAAGCTCCAGCAGAGCTCCGGCGGCGGCGGCGCTGGGCGCTCGGCAGGCCACGTTGGGCCACACTCACACACACACACACACACACCGCCCCCCGCAGCGCCTGTGCAAGCGGGTGGATCCCACGAGGGACCGCATCGCGCAGTGGCCAGGTGGGCTGCAGCGGTACCGCAGGGATCGGAGGGCCGCGGTCAGGGACAGAAGGGCTGGCACCCCCTTCAGGGCTGCCCCCCGGCCGGCAGATAAGCGGCTGAGGCGCTCCTCCGGGGCATCCCTTTGAGTCGGTCCTACCGCTCAGCTGCCCCGGCGTGTGCGCTGCCGGCTTGGTCCCGACGCGTGCCCCGCACCAGCGTAGGCAGCAGCACCACGCCCATGCCTTGCAGCTTTCCTGCCCCACAACCCCTGCCGTCCCCCCCTCCCCCCCTTCTGCTTGCTCCCGGCCCGCAGAGCGGCTGACGGTGCTGGCGGAGCACAGCAGCATCTTTTACGACCTCATGGTGTGTGTGTGTGTGTGTGGTGGTGGTGTGTACGTGTGTGTGTGGTGTGTGTGTGCATGTCGTGGTGGTGGGGGGTGTGAGGTAATTGTGTGGTTGGGGGTTGAGGGTACAGTGCTGTGCGTGTGTGCTGTCGCTGGCGGGCAGCCGGGCAAGGCAGCCAGGCAGGTGGCTGGCATCCGACGCGGTCGGGTCGCGTGCCCTGCACCACCCACCCTCTGCCCCACCCCTCCCTGCCACCTCACCACCACCCGGCCTCTCGCCCCTGCCCGCCCCGCAGACGCCGCAGCTGCTGGAGCTGGCGTTTGGGCGGGACGCCTTCCTCGCAGTGAAGCCGTACTTCAGATTCCTCCACATCACATCAGAGCTTCCCGAGGATGCGGGGCCACACAAGCAGGCGCGCCCGCAAGCAGGGTGGCTTGGGCCTGGGGGTGGCAAGGACGGAGGGAAGCGGTTGGGGGGAGGGAAGGGGGTGAGGTACCGGGGAGGGTCATGGCGGCTGCACCCCGCCGCGCTTGCCTGCTCCTCGCCTCGGTTGCGTGTTCAAGCGGCTGTGCCCAGTGCTGCCACCCAGCTGCCGCACAGCAGCAGCCCCGACCGCGGCTGGCTGCTCACTGCCTGCGGCCCTGGCACTGCGCCGCCGCCGCCGCCCGCAGGTGGTGCGCCTGTCGTTTTCGCTGCCGCCCGAAGGCGACACCGCCACCCTGAACAAGTTCCTGGTGACGGTACTGCTGCTGGCGGACCTTCTGGGCAGCTACCGGCTGAGCCCCGGTGGGTGGGCGGCGGCCGGTGTGGCAGGCAGTGGTGGGGCCTGGGCTGGGTGGCCTGCAGTACCATGCTGCTGCCAGCCAGCTGCAGGGCTTGGTTTGTGGGCGCTGCGCTGCGCCTCCCCATGCAGCCGCAATCACCACACACGCTCACGAACACCACCGCCGACGCTGCGTTCTGCCGCCCTTCAGAGCAGCAGAAGCGGGCGGCCGAGGCTCGCCAGAAGAAGGAGGCCGAGGAGCGGGCGGCGGTTGCGGACGACCGCCAGCGCCGCGCCGACGAGCGGCGGCAGCAGAAGGCGGCGGAGGAGGCGGTGAGTCGGGGCGCAGGGTAGAGGGGGCGAGATCTGCCGGCGGTCGGGTGTGGTGGTGCAGGGCGGTGCGGTGGTGCTGTCCCTGCTGCCGCTGCTGTGTGGCAGCCATCCTCCCTCCTTCTTTCAACCTCTCACCCCTGCCACCGCCTCGGCCTGCCGCCTCCCGCTCCGCATCCGGCTGCGCCTGCAGGATCGCCTGAAGCGCATGAACCCGGCGCAGCGGGAGAAGGAGCTGGAGCGCAAGCAGAAGCTGCAGGTACACGGGGCTGTCTGGGCTCCGCTGCGGCGGCCGGCGCCGCTGGCGCTGCTGCTGCTGCCGTGGCGCTGCCCATTGCGAGCCCTGGGGAGGCTGCCGGCACCAGCCAGTGCCACCCTGCCTCCATGCATGCTGCCCACCCCGGCCTGCCTCCCTTTAAAGCTCTGTGCATGCCGCCGCTGTGGTGCAGGCCAAGCGGCGCATGAGCCGCATGTCGAAAAAGATGTGAAGGAGGGGGAGGGGGATGAAGGAGAGGAACCCTCCGGAGGGGGGAGAGAGGAAGAGGGAGAGGCGCCCTGCCAGGGCGGCGGGGGCAGGACGATGCAGCAGCAGCTTGAGCGGCGGCAGAAGTGGCTGCCACATCACCCGACATCCACAACCTGAAACAGTGCGGGGTTGCTGCTTGCCTCTGCCTGTAACTACTGATGAGCTGCCTGCTGACGTCGTTGCACACGTCCCGTTTCAACAAAGACCAGGATCATGAACGTGTGAGAGAATGCTCCAAGCCTGTCTGCGTTGCTCTCGGGCTCATCCCCACGGCTTCTAGATGATCTGCATGCGCCTCCGTACGCTGCGCTGATGGCCGCTACCTTGCTCCAGGGAGCTGACGTTCACCAAGTTGGCGCCTCTTGCAGCCAGCTCCTGGTACTCCTGACTGCTGCCATTCACACGTGCAATCTGCACCCAAGTGCACCAAGGCAGACGTCAAACCACCTGGCCTTGAAGCTCTATGCCATGGCATGTGAGGGCAGGCTCAGTGACCAGAAGGGCTACACTTTTGGCAACAGGCGGCCATGCACCTGCTCCAACACGCCCCGCAGTACGCCCCATGGCAGCTCAACATTGCGGTCCCTCATCACTGCAGCCAGGGAGGACGTCGGTGTTACGATACATTGTGTGGCCATGGCCTGGTCAGGCACTGGCAGCGAACGCACTGGCGGGCACCGAGCCATGGTATGGCTCCTGGCCTGCTGCGCGCTGGCGCTGCTCGTGGATGCCCGGCTGCGTGAGATGGCTGTCAATGATGGCCAGCCCGAACCAATTTATCTGCAGTGGGAGAGAATGCAATGGCAACAGAAAGCTGGGCGGGGAGAGAAGCAGGGTCTGCATGGCTGCTCGCCGCCCTTCCGGTACAAAAGCAATTTCACATGCACTATTGCAGCTGCAGGGGCAGCCTCACCGGTGCATGGCTGTACTGCAGCCACGCGTGGTGCAGGTTGCTGCCCTGAAACTCGGGGTGCATCACTTCTGCATGAAGGCAGGGCATGGGTGCCCGCAGGCACGGTTAGCACTGCTCACACCCATGCTGACCGTTGTGGAAGTGACTTGCCTACGACTGAACTACAGGGCCGCATGAAAAAGAGGTTGGCAATGTTGGAGCCATGCACTCCCACCATCACGTCAGCCAGCTGCGCAGCTGCACAGCAACACCAAAGTGGACGCCGAGAGAAGGACAAAGTGACTACTGCTGGTGCCAATTGACAGGCCCGGGCCGGAAGGCAGTGCCGGTGCGCCCAGCCGCTCACCTGCCATGGCGTCGGGCAGCCCCATGAGGTCCCAGCGCCCACACTTGGCGGTATGCAGGGTGCCACTGGCCTCATCTCTGTACTTCCAGTTGGCGCAGCTGTCCAATAGCTGCTCTAAATTAAGCAGCTCACGAACACCAGCATTGGCACCCCTGGTCTGGAACAGCACCTGCCAAACACGCCGCTGCTGCTCCACATGCTGCTGTGGTGCTGGCACCCCAACAGGTTCTGCAGCCTGCAAGATGTCAGGGCACGGCGCCGGTGCCGCTGGCGGTGCCATTGGCATTGCCTTGTCTCCACTGCCGCTGCTGCTGGCATTGCTGACAATGTGGGGGGATGGTTGTGCCCATGAGAGGCTGAGCTGGGCCTGTTGCCATTGAGGACGATAGTGATCCACACTGTGCTGCGCGGCCTGCCATGCCGACAGTACCCCGCCCCATATGTCAGGAATGTCGCACAGCAGAGCACTGGCAAAGCAGCGGCTGTGCGTGCCTTCACGGCTGCTCAAGCTGCACCAGCAGGCAAAATGCAAAGCGGGTTGTGAGTAAGCAACTGGGCATCCTGGCAGCAGAACACAGTGGTTCGACGTGACACCGCTAGCACAGCGCAGCCAGAGACGATCGTTGCTCACTCTGCAAGTGTTGTGATTGGGTGCCGAGCCATGGGCTGCAGCAGCAGGCGTGACCAGGAGGGCAGGGCCAGCCCCCAGGGCATGTGCATGGCTACAACTGCACGCTCCGCCAGCTGTTGCCCTGCACAATAAGTGTCCACATTGGCAACCAAAGTCACCTGGCTTACAGCTCTCTGCAGGGTTACCCGAAGTCCAATTGGGCCTCGGGTTGATCTACTTCAACCAGTGCACACCAGAGGGCCGCTGCGCCTAACTATGCGCAATGCCAGACGCGACCCTCCTCCATGCAGTGCCCGGCAGCAGGGCAGCAGGCTGCATCAGGCGTTGCAGCATGCAAACCTGTTTGCGTGGCCACCAGCTGTTCGTACAGCCAGCCCGCTGTGTTGACCAGAGTGTGCCCGTAGTTGAAGGGCCACACCGTTTGCAGCAGCATCGGCACGTGACAGCTCCACTGCAGGCACAGGGGGCGGGGTGCAAGTGCACAGGGTGAGGCAGCGCCTGCCTGCCACCAGCGCTTGATATCGCTGTGAAGCAGACTCTACAGGAGTACTGGTACAGATACCTGAGGGTCGGCCAGCTCTTGGGACGGCTCGTATTGGCTGACAGGACGGAAGAGGAGCGGCTGGGGCAGGTGGAGGTCTGGGACTTGCATGTAGTCTGGATTGCTGGTGGATGGGTACGGGAAGTTGGCGTGCACCTGAGGGATCCAGGAGGGCAGCCGGCTGCGCGGGGCGCCAGCCTCGCTTGGCTGCAAATCCTTGCCGTGCAGTACGACGGCGGCCTGGTCGAAGCAAACGTGCTGCAGCTCCAAGCAGCCTTCTGGCACTGCTGGCAACACAGGGCAGTTGCTGGTCAGGTTGCCATTGATACCGATAGGTGGGGCTGCTTGCTTGCCGTGACTCATTTGATATTGTGGCACACGCGCGCGCGCCAGCACGCCTTGCCGCTGCCGCACGCAACGCGGCGACCACTGCGCCGGGGACACCAAGGATGATAGCGCCAGCAGCAGCGCTGCCGCCACGGTCCAAAGAAGGGACTGTGACCACTGTAAGTGCATCGTTGGTCTAAACCGGTGTGGTTTGGAGTCAGCGTCTCACGGCAATCATGAGACAAGTTCTCGCGTCTAAACCCAACTGTTGTCCTTTGGCTGGGAGCCGCCACTAAATAAAAAAGAAGAAGATGGAGAATAATACGGTAGAGACGCGTTGTCCAAAGTACTTACAAATCACGCGAGGTCCGCCGGGGTCGCGAACGCGGACCTGCACTGCTGGCAGCTGCTCGCTCGCGGACCTGCCCCTGGCTCGCCACGGCTTCCAACTCAAACCATCGGCCCGCGTCGCCGCCTTTGCCGCAGCCTGCCGCCTTGCCCCACCTCCGCTCTGCCGGTCACTACACGTAATCTCTATGTTGGGTCACATGCATCCGGAGGGGAGGTCCCCCACTCATCACCAGTTTATATTGAGCTACAGCCTTCGTTTCCACAGCACAACTTCACAATAAGTTTGCCAGCTGGCGGCGCCGCCTGCCGCCACCCTGGCGGTACACTTTACAGGACAGCCGGCTTGCTTTGCATGCTGCCAGGTACCCTGCCTGCCCCGTAGGAAGGAGCAGGGTCAGCAGTAGCAGCCGATGCGCGCCACGGTGCGCCTGCTGCTGCCGGAGCGCCGGCGCCGGCGGCGGCGCTGCCCAGGCGCCTGCCCAGCGCGCCTGGCATGCTGCGCTGGCGCAGGTTTGGTCCAGAGGAGGCTGAGGCACAGGGTGATGCGGCGCAGGTGGGCGCACTGTGAAGTAGGCACCCTCCCGAGGGATGCGAATGGATGGTGCGGGGAGGGCGACGGGCTGAACCCGCTGGCACCGATTTGGCCGTTGCAGCGCACTTGCCTGCATGTAGGACCACTGGCAGCAGCACAAAGGGGCTGGCACCCTCCGTATTGGCCAAGCGCAGGCTGCATGCGGCAGGCGTTGGGCAGGCGGCCAGGCAGTTCGTGCCCCTGGCGCCACGCTTTATTTCCCCTCCCTTTCCTCCCGCTCTCCTCCCTGCAGGCGCACTACAAGGGCATGCAGGAGTGCAGCCCCGTCATCCAGCACAGGCTTGAAACCAACCAGGCGAGTCGGCGTCGGGGCTGGCCGGGCTGTCGCTGCCGAGCTGCTGCCGGTACCGCCGCTCGTGCGCCGCCTCTGCTGCCGTGTGTTCCTGCAGGCCGCGGTGCTGCTGCTGGACGAAAAGGGCAGGTTCCTGCAGCACCTGCTGATGGCAGGTGAGGGGCGGCTGCCTGTGTCGTGTGTGCGTGTGCGGCTTGCTGGAGCCCCTGCGCATGCACGGTGCGAAGCACACGGTGCCGCACGCGGTGGGTGGCGGCGGCCACCCATGCACAATACTGCAGGCCTACTGGAGGCGTGCGAGGCCATCACGGCGCAGCAGCAGCTGGAGCGGCGGCACAAGTGGCTGCAAATCAAGCATAAGCTGTGAGGTGTACAGGGGGCCTCCTTTGGGGGAGAGACGACAGGTGTGGGACAGCGATGCGGTCTGAGCGACACTCTTGGCGCCAGATGCGGCAGCATCCAGCACCCTCCTGGCTTGATTTTGAGGTGTGTACTTCAGGCCGATGATTGGATGCTTTGCTTGCTTGTGCTCGTGACTCTGGGGCTTCCGCTGTAAGAGCGCGCGAGGGCGAGCACTGCTCTGGCAGATGCTTGCAGGGTACCATCGGCGGGTAGCTCTCTCCCACACTCGCCGCCTCACTCGATCACCTATACCTTATCCTCCAAACAAGCCATATCCCCATTTTTACCACTGGGGGAAGTTCTATGTAGGGCTACCTAGCCCTAGGGCCGCCTGGTGATGCGGGTTACCACCATGCGCCTGCGCCCTGACAGGCGCCACGAGGGCGGCGGCCAGGGCTTGCCAGGGCACGCAACCCGCAGCGCCGTGCGGCCTCTGTTTACGTTTGCACAACAGCTTACGTACATTTGAAGCCTTGCACCGCCCCTGAACTCCTGCGCCACCACGGTTCGCCCTTGCTTGCTGTGTAGCGGTGAGCAGCCTCTGGTATCCTGTGCTGGTTGTAGTTGCCTGCTGAGCGCGGGCGGCGCGAAGCTCCCAAGTCCCTCGCAGAAGCGCTCAGCCTGCCGCCGCCGCCCGCCGCCGCCGTGCTGCAGGCCCGCCTCTCCACGTAAGGTTTCAGCCATGAGCGAGGGACCAAGCGTCAGGACCTTTGCGTTGTTTGTGGTGTCCTTCTTCTGCCCCCCCATGGCGGTGAGGCTGCCTGCCTGCGCTTGCTGCGCTGGCCAGGAGCTCCACTCTGGCCTGCCGCCGCCGCCGCTCCTGCCTGTCCAGCCAAACTTCTGCAGCTGCTTCCGAGCGTGCCCTCTCACTTTCGTTCACACTTCTTGCCTGCCTGCCTGCCTGGCCTGCTGGCGCCCCCCCCCCCGCAGGTGCTGATATCGAGGGGGGAGATTGACAGCTACTTCTGGGTCAACCTGCTGCTCACGCTGGTGGGCTGGCTGCCCGGCGTGGCGCACGCCGTGTGGGTGCTCTGCTCCCGCAACCCCCTGGCACGTGAGTGCGGTGGTGGCACGGGACCGGCGCGCTTTGGTGTGCATGTGTGTGCGCTGGCGTCGGCACTGCCCGGTGGTATGCCGCGCCATGCCTCCCAGCTGGCGCACGTGTTGCCGCGCATGCCAGGGCCAGGTATGCAACCACGCAGCAACAGCAGCTCGCGTGCGAGCCTGCCTGCTCCCTGTTCTGCATGCCATCCCACGCAGAGGAGGAGATGTGGGCGGGCTACGCGGCGCTCACGCGGCCAAACGGCTACGTGTAGCACCAGAGGAGCTGGGCCGGCAGCGGGTTGCTGGCTGCCTGCAATGGAAGGATATCTGCGCCTTGATCCCATGATGTTTGACCTGTAGCAACTCGGCCTCCCTCCCAACAACAGTGCCTGGCAAACTGCGCCTGACCACCACATCCGACCCAGACTGGGGCGCAGCAGCATGGTGCCAGAGGCGGCTGGGTTCAGCACGAGGCTGCGCAGGGGGCAGCACCAGGCGGTGGCAGGCAGCGGCGGCAGGCGGCGGCAGCGACAGCGGCAGACTCTCTCCATGCTGTCCAGGCGCGCGCTCGACCCGCCGCGCCCCAAATCCCATGGAGATGCAGAAGCTTCTCAGCGTGCAAGGCGCCAGGCCATGCATGCCATATGTGGAGCCCCCCTCACGTTCCGTTCATGGGCTGCTGGCGCTGCTTGCCCAGGTGGCGCTGCCAAACGATATTGCACGTGCTGCAGAAGCGCTGAAAGGCATGTAGGGCAGCAGCCGAGCGTGCCGCAAGGTGTTGCATGGCGCGGGGCAAGTGGGGCGGGGGCGGGCTCTGGGTAACCCAAAGTGCATATGGGGGCTAGAATTGGCGCCCTGGCTTGCATGCGATGCGTGAGGGACCCGGGATGGGCACGTCAACTTTGCGCCCATGAAAAAAGAAAGAAACCGATCCGTTATCGGCTCCAGACACCTCACCTCCCTGCACCCCATCCAGGCTCCCTGCAGCCCCCAGCGCCTCATTCTCCCCCTCCTTCTCCTCCCACGCCCTTAGCAGCATGCAGACTGCTCTGAACGCTCGCTTTGGCGTGGCCCGCCCGGCCACCCGCGCTGCAGGCGCCCGCCGCAGCGCGGTGCAGCCTGTGCGCGCGGCAGCGGCGACTGAGAAGGAGATGACGGACGATCTGGGCTTCAAGCTGATGCGGCGGGGCGTGAAGGTGGCGGCCAAGGAGAGCATCCTGACCCCCAGGTGCGATGGCGAAGGACGGCAGCTGCCGGGCGCTCCAGGCGCCCCAAACCACCCCACATGGCGCAGTGCGTCACCTGGGGACGCAGCACAGCTCAGGGGTTGGCCCCTTCTGGCTGGGCGGTGGTAGGGCCACCGCCGCCGCCTGCCACCTCCGCTGTGCCGCTAACGCGTGCAGCCCTCCGCCTGCCCCCCTCCCCCCCAAAGGTTCTACACTACCGACTTTGACGAGGTGGATGACATCTTCAACCTGGAGAAGAACCCCAACCTGCCCATGGAGGAGCTGACCGCCATGCTGGAGGAATTCCGCAAGTGCGGACCCCTCCCTTCTTCTGAACGTCCTGGCAGGCCACACGGGCCGGCCAGCCAGCACGCCGCCCACGCGTTTGCACTACCGCCGTATCAATGGCGGCGCAACAGGGGCGGGCCGGCCGGGCCGCGTGCCGCGCCGCCGGCGATCCGGCGCCCGCGACGTCGCGGAGCGTGACTAACCCCCGCCCCTGCCTCTCACCTTCTTCCCTGCCGCCCCGCCCCGCAGGGACTACAACCAGAAGCACTTTGTGCGCAACGACGGCTTCCACGATGCCGCCGACGAGATCCAGGGACCCATGCGCAAGATCTTCATTGAGTTCCTGGAGCGCTCCTGCACCGCGGGTGCGCCCCCGGCAGCAGCAGCTTTTTGTGTTTTTTTCTTTCTTTGCGTGCCGCCGAGCAGCGCGATCGCAGCATCGCTCTAGGCTGGCAGCCCCGCCCAGCCCGACCGACACAGCAGCAGCAGCAGCTTTCTCCTCCTCTTATGCTCCCCGCTGTCCTCCTCTCCCCCTCCCACCTGCCGCAGAGTTCTCCGGCTTCCTGCTGTACAAGGAGCTGGGCCGCCGCCTGCAGAAGTCCAACCCCGTGGTGGCGGAGATCTTCACGCTGCTGGCCCGCGACGAGGCCCGCCACGCCGGCTTCATCAACAAGGCCCTGTCGGGTGAGGCGGCGGGGGTGGCTGGGGTGTGGCTGGCTGGGGTGCAGCGGCAGCCTGCCTGGCAGACCGTTTTGGCGGCGGCAGCGGTGCCGGCCTGGACCCAATCTGCACCCGCGCATGCACACACGTGGGCACAAAACGCACGCAGCGCCCGCCTGCGCCCTTGGACCGACCGCTCCCATGCCCTGCCCCCCGCCACCGGCCCCCCCGCAGACTTCAACCTTGCCCTCGACCTGGGCTTCCTCACCAAGAACCGCACCTACACCTTCTTCAAGCCCAAGTTCATCATCTACGCCACCTACCTGTCGGAGAAGATCGGGTACTGGCGGTACATCAGCATGTACCGCCACCTCCAGCGCAACCCCGACAACCAGCTGTACCCCATGTTTGAGTACTTTGAGAACTGGTGCCAGGACGAGAACCGCCACGGCGACTTCCTGACCGCGGTGCTCAAGGCGCGGCCGGAGCTGCTCAACGGCCTCGAGGCGCGGTGAGTGGGGCCGTGGTGTGTGTGTGTGTGTGTGTGTGTGTGTGTGTGAGGGCGGGGGATCAGGGCTAGGATGGGCCGCGCAGGGCCAGGCCACGCGTGGCGGCAGCAGCTACGCAGCAGCCACGGCAGCTTGCTCGCCCGTCTGCCTAGCGGCCCCACCGGCCAGGCCCCTCTCCCACTCGCCCTCTCACCCCCTTCTGACCCCGGCGCCGTCCCGCCCCCCGCCCCTCCCTTCCTTCCTGCAGCCTGTGGTCCCGCTTCTTCTGCCTCTCCGTCTACATCACCATGTACCTCAACGACCACTCCCGCTCCGCCTTCTACGGCGCCCTGGGCCTCAACACCACCCAGTTCAACCGCCACGTTATCATCGAGACCAACAACGCCACAGCACGGGTGTTCCCAGAGGTGCGCCCACTCCCACCCACCCGCCTGCTGCTGCGCGGCGCCTGGCCTGGCCTGGCCGGCGCCGACCCGGCCTGCCGACGGCCGGGCGTGGGCTGGCGTGCTGCGTGCTGACGCCGTGCCCTGGGCGCCTGCTGCTTGCACATCTGCCGCTCCCGCCCTCCCTCCTGCCCGCCGCCCTCCCGTGCCCTCACCCCCTGCTCCGCTCTGCTCCCTCCTTCGCGCCGCCGCCGCCCGAGCAGGTGCCCGACTGCGACGCCCCCGGCTTCTGGGATGTGATGGACCGCATGGTTGGCTACAACGAGAAGCTGATTGCCATCGACCGCAGCGAGGCACCCGAGTTCCTCAAGAAGCTGCAGAAGCTGCCCTACACCGAGCGCATCCTGGCGGGCTGCCTGCAGCTCTTCTTCATGCCCACCCTGCGCTCCGGCAGCTTCGACATCGAGGGCGCGGGCAGCTACCAGTACTGAGCGGGAAGCCGTCCGGTACCGGGCGCCGCCACGCGGGCGGCGCGAGCAGCAGCAGCAGCAGCCTTTTGTGCGGGACGCGCGCCCCAGCGGCGCGCCCCTCCCCAGTGTTTGTTTCCACCCATCCCCTTTTCCCGGCCTTCCTCTCCCGGCGGACGGCTTCCGCAGTCGCTTCCGGCAGCGCCCTGGCTGGCGCCCCAGCTGGGTGGCGCCTTGATGCGCCGCCCAGCCCCGCCAGCCGCCGGCCAGCCTGAGAAGAAGCACGCTCTAGCCAGCGGGGCTGCGGTGCACATTCCCGCGCCCCGTCCCCTGTTCCACACATGAACCTTGCGACCCCCGCCGCCACCTCCCCTGCCGCCTCCAGCCAACGCATGCCCCCACACATGCGTGCGCCCCCCCGTCGCGAGCGTTCGCATACTAGGCCCTGTTACCGGCATTTTATTTGCCCTTCTTCGTCCTTGTATTGTTTTTTGGTTTGTGTTCCCAACCTTTTCGCACCAATCAATCACACCATCACAGCAGCAGCACCAACCGAGAAGCAAGAAAACAGCACTGCTGTAACTGGAATCGACTGCGAGGGAGAGACAAGGGGTTTTGGGGCATGCAGCGGACAGTGGCAGCTTGCTGGACAGGCACCCACTTTCCCCTCTTTCCCCAAGCAGGGAGGGTGGAAAATGTTAAGGCTCGCTTCGAAGCGCAAACAACCTTGCAAGGGGGTGGCGCTCGCCAGCAGGGCATGGGCGGGGCGCTGAGGTGGACAGGTCTCCCTTGCGGAGTTTGCAGCCTGTCTTCGCGAATTGAACAATACATCCAGCTAATTTGGACGCGATTGACACTGCTGGGAGGCCTCCCTCCATCGGGGGGTTCTGAGGAGTGCCCGAGCTGCGAAGCAACCAGCGCCGCCCCGTCCGCCCTCGGCCTGCTGCCTGGCACTCGGCGCTCGAGGGCGGGCCCCAGCCCGCCCTCTCGCCTTTGCCTCGGCCGCGGCAGCCTGCCTCCCCCTCTCATGCCTTTGACGCACGCCTGTGCGCTCCTATTGCTGCTGCTAGCGGCCTGGGAGACGGCGGGCGCTCGAGAAGGCGATGCCGCAGAGCGCCCAGACAGAGGGGCGCGCGAGGGCGCGAGCAGCGGCGCGAGCAGCGGCAGCGGCGGCGGCCTGCTTCGCGCGCCGCGGCAGCTGCGCCAGGCCCGGCGAGGAGGCGTTGGACTGGGTCAGCCGCCCCCTGTGGTGGTGCTGTACACGCAGTTTGGGGCGATCCGCGTGAAGCTGCTGGAGGGGGTGGCTCCCCGCATCACTGCCCTGGTGTGGCACCTGGCTGCGGCGCGCAACTGCTCCACCACCTACACCTGCGCCTTCTACAGGTGGGGCCCGCGCGGCTGCGGGGAGCCGCCGCTGGCGCTTGTACCTGCCCCTGCTGCCCTGCAGGCAGCCCCACGGGATGCTGACCCCATGTCTGCAGCGGCCGGTGGCGGGAGGTGCAGAGGCAGCGGCGGCGGGGGCAGCGCTCTCCGGCTGGCTCCTGTGCTGGCACCGACTCGCGGCCATGCCGCTCCATTGCTCGGCTGCGCTGCAGGAACGAGGCGCGGCCGCAGTCTGGGCCGGGGCCGCCTTACGCGCTGCTGCAGGGGCGCATGCATGACCTGGCAGAGGCGAGCTGGGCTGCCAGTCTCAGATCCCCCGCCGCAAGCTGTGCCGTGGTGGTTTGGCCGCCGCCGTTGCAGCGGCCGCCGCCGTGCACGCGTGTTTGGGCGTGCTGGGGCGCTTTTGTCCGCAGTCCTGCCGCTTTTGCCGCTTGGCAGCCCTGCCCTCACACCCTGACACGCACACGCCGCTCCCATCCCCTTCACCACATTCCGATGCACACACACATGCACACACGAATGTACACACACACATGCGCCACCCACCCCGCCGCCGCTTAGCAGGACCCTCCATGGGAGGGCGTCATCGAGGTGAAGCGGGGCCACGTGTGCTTCATCCCCGGCGGCAAGGACTTCTTCATAGCGCTGGGGGACCACCCAGAGTGGGGCAAGTCACACCCGGTGGGTGGGCAGGGCGGGCGCCCCGGCGTGCACGCTGTGTGGGGGGCTGGGAGTGGGCGGGGCCGACGCGCCTCCCCGTGCTTCCCACCCGATGCCTCCGGCTTGCTCATCTGCACACATGTGCACACGCACCACCCCTGTCCCTTACCAGCCGATGCCCCGGGCTCGCTCATCTCTACAACAAACACATGCACGCACACCGGCCTTCTCCCTTGCCGCCTCCAGTGCTGGGGCCTGGTGGAGGAGTGGTTTGCCACAGACCTCATCATCGCGCAGGCATACAAGTAAGTGAGGGGAGGCCGCAGCCTGGAACTGCTGGGGCTGCAGCTGGTGCTGGCTGGTGCTGGAGGCTGGGGTTGTGGGCTTTCTGCATGCGCTGCCGATCGTCTTGGCGGCTTCCGTGCCGCATCGTGCGCCAGCTGCCGGCCGCCTCGCTCGCCTGCTCTTGCGCTTGCTGCGCCCCACCCCGCCAACTGCCTCCATTCACTGTGCTGCCCTGCCCGCCAACTCAGCGCTTCCCCCAACTCCGCTGCCCGCTCACCTCCCCTGCAGCCCCTGGACGCACCCAGACCACGGCACAGTGCTGCGCATCCTCACAATTGAGGTGCCTTACACGATGGCTGTGGAGGGGGACCGCACATACGGCGGCATGCTGGGAAGCCTGCGCTGACCTCCACACGCCTCCCTGCCGCCATTTCACCGCCTCCCTGCCCCCTTGTATCGCGTGGTGACGTTGTAAGCAAATGATTCAGTCACCAGCACTGAAGGCAACAGAGAGAAAACTGGCACCCTGTCCAGCTTTCCCTGTCCCTCACAGGAGGCTCACTCAGCCTTCAGCCCGCTGGCCAGCTGCGCCCCGCCAAGCAGCTTCTGCTGCAGCTGCTCCCGCTGCTGGCGCTGCCGGCGTGGCCTGTGCGCTGCTGGCGGCCTCCTCCTCCTGCTCCCAGGCAGCCTGCTTCTGCGGCTGCCGGGAACGCAAGAAGAGGAGCCAGGCGGCAAAGCAGGCCACCCGGAGCGTCCAGTTGAGCTGCTGCAAGGGGCGCAGCAGGCACGGCACAAGTTCCTTGGGCAACAGCCACATCCACTGCCGGCAGATGGCGCCTGGGATCAGCCAGGCTTGCACCTGCCAGCCTGCCATTCCACCATACACACCTGGGAGTTGGTGCTGATGAGGCCTGCCCCCGCCAGCTGCAGCACCCAGGGCGTGGTGTGGCGCAGGCAGGTGGAGTGCCAGGCGCGGTACCGCTGGCGGCGTACTGCCAGCCCCGCCGCCAGTGTGCCGATGCACATGAGGAACCTGCGGTACATGCATGATAGGGCACATCGAACATGGCACAGCATGGTGCAGCGTGGCTCAGCGTGGCTCAGCATGGCACAGAGCCACGGCGCCAGCGGAGGCAGCGGCTCGGCAGGCGCCGCGGGGCACGCGACGCGGGTTTGGGGGCGTCGAACCATATCGCGCCATGCTGACCGCGGCTGCGACGCTCAGCTCGTGCCGCCGGTTAAGACCCACTAAGACCGGGTCTGGGAGCACTGGCCGGGGGCGGCCATCACCGGCCAGGCCGGCCAAGGCCAAGCGGGAGGGCGCCCAGGCTGCTCTGCTATAGAGCTTCCAAACGGCCCCATTACCCAAGTTGTGGAACAGTTAGCCGGTTGTGATGGCCAGGCGGTGGTTGGGGAGACGGCCAGGCTCAGCAGCCCTCACCGCATGCAGGTGCTGGCCTGCTAGCCTGAAGCAAGTGCTCCCAGGGTTCAGCTTTGGCTGCCAACCAGGCAGACCAGAAATATGGGCAACCTACTTCACTCACCTGTGGTGTGCTGCTGCAGCAAACTCGTGGCGCACTGCTGGGGCTATTGCAGCCAGGCTGTGACACGTGTCAGGCATCCAGGGGCACTGCAGAGCCAGCTGCCAGCTGGTAGACCAGTACCACCAGATGGTGCGCGCACAAACATTCTCCCCATCCCTCTCCTCCCGCGCCCCAAGCAGCATGCAGGCTGCTCTGAACGCTCGCTTTGGCGTGGCCCGACCGGCCACCCGCGCTGCAGGCGCCCACCGCAGCGCGGTGCAGCCTGTGCGCGCGGCAGCGGCGACTGAGAAGGAGATGACGGACGATCTGGGCTTCAAGCTGATGCGGCGGGGCGTGAAGGTGGCGGCCAAGGAGAGCATCCTGACCCCCAGGTGCGATGGCGAAGGACGGCAGCTGCCGGGCGCTCCAGGCGCCCCAAACCACCCCACATGGCGCAGTGCATCACCTGGGGACGCAGTACAGCTCAGGGGTTGGCCCCTTTCTGGCTGGGCGGTGGTAGGGCCGCCGCCGCCGCCTGCCACCTCCGCTGTATTCAAATTCATTCATTCAGCACACAGACCGGCCGCCTCTTGCTCGAGGGCAGCCCACTTTGGCCTGGGCAGCCCGGGCCGCCCTCCCCCCCGGGCGCATGTTCGGTGTTGGAGGGGTGTGCCCAGCGATAGGGGGGCCCTGAAGGCATGCGCCGAGGCCGGGAAGCGTGGTTCGGCGATGCTGCACGCTTGGCGATTTGAACATAACCACGTGCCGCCGAGCTGCGGCCGCGTTTTCCGGCCCACGGTCTACGGTCGCAGCCACGGGACTCGGCGCCACGGCGTTTGGGCCCAAGCTTGCTGCCGCCGCAGCCGCCGTGCCCGGGGGGCAGCGCGGCGGCGGCGGCGGCACGCTGCGACGCCCCCGTGCTGCCGAGCTGCGGACGAAGGGGCTGCCAGAAGCCCACGGCCACAGCCACGGGACTCGGCGGCACGGCGTTTCGGTCCACGGCTTGCTGCCGCCGCCGTCGCAGGGGTGCTGCCTGCGGCGGCGGCGGCACGGCGTTTGGGTCCACGGCTTGCTGCCGCTGCCGCCGACGCAGGGGTGCTGCCTGCGGCGGCGGCAGTAGCGCACGTGGCAACCCCCCGCGTTTCCTTGTCTCCCATCCACCGGACCCCGTCCTGCACTTCACTTTGTTTAGGGAGGGGCTGCTCACTGCTCATTGCTCATTGCTCATCGCACACTGCTCAGCGCTCATTGCCCTATATCCCACCCAGCCGCAGGACTCTACTGCCGCCCGCGCCCCGCCCCATCTGGCCGCTTGCGCGCCCCATCCCCCCTCGATGGGGCCCGCCCACACCGGGGCCTCCCCCCTCCCGCCCACTGCTTTCTCAACGGCCCCGAGCCGGGGCTGCCCTCATTGCATACATAGTGCGCCTTTCTCTGCTTTTCTAGTGACCTAGCGTTCCGCACTGCCGTTTGGCCAGCCCATGCTCCCGTACCGATGTGTTTCTCCCCAATGCGCCATGCCACTATGCCAGTCATAAACACGTTTCGATGCGTGCCCTGTCAGCTGCTTGCGTTGCGTGTCGCCTTGCTCCACCCCTGTTTTATTGCTTTCGCCCGGTTCCCGTCCCGTTTCGGCGGGGAGTCTATGTTGCAAGCTAGTTCTTGCTTTACCAGACTTAAAGCCCACACAAGCAAGCAAGCAAGCTGTGCCGCTCACGCGTGCAGCCCTCCGCCTGCCCCCCTCCCCCCCAAAGGTTCTACACCACCGACTTTGACGAGGTGGATGACATCTTCAACCTGGAGAAGAACCCCAACCTGCCCATGGAGGAGCTGACCGCCATGCTGGAGGAATTCCGCAAGTGCGGACCCCTCCCTTCTTCTGAACGTCCTGGCAGGCCACACGGGCCGGCCAGCCAGCACGGCGCCCACGCGTTTGCACTACCGCCGTATCAATGGCGGCGCAACAGGGGCGTGCCGCGCCGCCGGCGATCCGGCGCCCGCGACGTCGCGGCGCGTGACTAACCCGCGCCCCTGCCTCTCGCCTTCTTCCCTGCTGCCCCACAGGGACTACAACCAGAAGCACTTTGTGCGCAACGACGGCTTCCACGATGCCGCCGACGAGATCCAGGGACCCATGCGCAAGATCTTCATCGAGTTCCTGGAGCGCTTCTGCACCGCGGGTGCGCCCCCGGCAGCAGCAGCTTTTTGTGTTTTTTTCTTTCTTTGCGTGCCGCCGAGCAGCGCGATCGCAGCATCGCACTAGGCTGGCAGCCCCGCCCAGCCTGACCGACACAGCAGCAGCTTTCTCCTCCTCTTATGCTCCCCGCTGTCCTCCGCTCCCCCTCCCACCTGCCGCAGAGTTCTTCGGCTTCCTGCTGTACAAGGAGCTGGGCCGCCGCCTGCAGAAGTCCAACCCCGTGGTGGCGGAGATCTTCACGCTGGCCCGCGACGAGGCCCGCCACGCCGGCTTCGTCAACAAGGCCCTGTCGGGTGAGGCGGCGGGTGCGGCTGGGGTGTGGCTGGCTGGGGAGCAGCGGCAGCCTGCCTGGCAGACCGTTTCGGCGGCGGTGCCGGCCTGGACCCAACCTGCACCCGCGCGTGCACACGCGTGGGCACAGCAGGCACGCACAGCAGGCGCAACACGCACGCAGCGCCCGCCTGCGCCCTTGGACCGACCGCTCCCATGCCCTGCCCCCCGCCACCGGCCCCCCCGCAGACTTCAACCTGGCCCTTGACCTCGGCTTCCTCACCAAGAACCGCACCTACACCTTCTTCAAGCCCAAGTTCATCATCTACGCCACCTACCTGCCGGAGAAGATCGGGTACTGGCGGTACATTAGCATGTACCGCCACCTCCAGCGCAACCCCGACAACCAGCTGTACCCCATGTTTGAGTACCTTGAGAACTGGTGCCAGGACGAGAACCGCCACGGCGACTTCCTGACGCGGTGCTCAAGGCGCGGCCGGAGCTGCTCAACGGCCTCGAGGCGCGGTGAGTGGGGCCGTGGTGTGTGTGTGTGTGTGTGTGTGTGAGAGCGGGGGTCAGGGCTAGGCTGGGCCGCGCAGGGCCAGGCCACGCGTGGTGGCAGCAGCTATGCAGCAGCCACGGCAGCTTGCTCGCCCGTCTGCCTCGTGGCCCCACCGGCCAGGCCCCTCTCCCACTCGCCTCTCACCCCCTTCTGACCCCGGCGCCGTCCCGCCCCCCTCCCCTCCCTTCCTTCCAGCAGCCTGTGGTCCCGCTTCTTCTGCCTCTCCGTCTACATCACCATGTACCTCAACGACCACTCCCGCTCCGTCTTCTTCGGCGCCCTGGGCCTCAACACCACCCAGTTCAACCGCCACGTTATCATCGAGACCAACAACGCCACAGCACGGGTGTTCCCAGAGGTGCGCCCACTCCCACCCACCCGCCTGCTGCTGCGCGGCGCCTGGCCTGGCCTGGCCGGCGCCGACCCGGCCTGCCGACGGCCGGGCGTGGGCTGGCGTGCTGCGTGCTGACGCCGTGCCCTGGGCGCCCGCTGCTTGCACATCTGCCGCTCCCGCCCTCCCTCCTGCCCGCCGCCCTCCCGTGCCCTCACCCCCTGCTCCGCTCTGCTCCCTCCTTCGCGCCGCCGCCGCCCGAGCAGGTGCCCGACTGCGACGCCCCCGGCTTCTGGGATGTGATGGACCGCATGGTTGGCTACAACGAGAAGCTGATTGCCATCGACCGCAGCGAGGCACCCGAGTTCCTCGAGAAGCTGCCCTACACCGAGCGCATCCTGGTGGGCTGCCTGCAGCTCTTCTTCATGCCCACCCTGCGCTCCGGCAGCTTCGACATCGAGGGCGCGGGCAGCTACCAGTACTGAGCGGGAAGCCGTCCGGTACCGGGCGCCGCCACGCCGGCGGCGCGAGCAGCAGTCTTTTGTGCGGGACGCGCGCCCCAGCGGCGCGCCCCTCCCCAGTGTTTGTTTCCACCCATCCCCTTTTCCCGGCCTTCCTCTCCCGGCGGACGGCTTCCGCAGTCGCTTCCGGCAGCGCCCTGGCTGGCGCCCCAGCTGGGTGGCGCCTTGATGCGCCGCCCAGCCCCGCCAGCTCTCGGCCAGCCTGAGAAGAAGCACGCTCTAGCCAGCGGGGCTGCGGCGCACATTCCCGCGCCCCGTCCCCTGTTCCACACATGAACCTTGCAACCCCCGCCGCCACCTCCCCTGCCGCCTCCAGCCAACGCATGCCCCCACACATGCGTGCGCCCCCCCATCGCGAGCGTTCGCATACTAGGCCCTGTTACCGGCAGTGTATTTGCCCTTCTTTGTCCTTGTATTTATTTTTGGTTTGTGTCCCCAACCTTTTCCAACCAATCAATCACACCACCACAACTGCAGCACCCACCGAGAAGCATGAAAACAGCCCTGTGTAAATGCAACCGACCGCGAGGGAGAGATGAGGGGGTGCGGGGTTTGCAGCGGACACTGGCAGCTTGCTGGACAGGCACCCACTTTCCCCTCTTTCCCCAAGCAGGGAGGGTGGAAAATGTTAGGGCTCGCTTCGAAGCGCAAACAACCTTGCAAGGGGGTGGCGCTCGCCAGCAGGGCATGGGCGGCGCTGAGGTGGACAGGTCTCCCTTGCGGAGTTTGCAGCCTGTCTTCGCGAATTGAACAATACATCCAGCTAATTTGGACGCGATTGACACTGCTGGGAGGCCTCCCTCCATCGGGGGGTTCTGAGGAGTGCCCGAGCTGCGAAGCAACCAGCGCCGCCCCGTCCGCCCTCGGCCTGCTGCCTGGCACTCGGCGCTCGAGGGCGGGCCCCAGCCCGCCCTCTCGCCTTTGCCTCGGCCGCGGCAGCCTGCCTCCCCCTCTCATGCCTTTGACGCACGCCTGTGCGCTCCTATTGCTGCTGCTAGCGGCCTGGGAGACGGCGGGCGCTCGAGAAGGCGATGCCATTGCACAAGTCGCACATGTGCAACCTTCTGTCAAGCCTGTCACTACCCACCACCAGCAAGTATGATAAACAGTCTCTTTGCAGAATGGAATAAGTAAACAGACTCTTTGCAGCCACACAACGTTTGCAAAGGGTTGGACGTCAGCAGCCCAGCCTGCGCTCCACAAGCCTCCCTAGGAGAGGCCTAGGCCACCACAGGGCTGCCGCCAGTTCACCACCTCCATGCCCCCGTCCATCGCACGGTGACGCTGTACGCAACTGATTCAGTTACCAGCACTGAAGGCAAAAGGTAGAAAACTGGCACCCTGTCCAGCTTTCCCTGTCCCTCACAGGAGGCTGTCACTCAGCCTTCAGCCCGCTGGCCAGCTGCGCCCCGCCAAGCAGCTTCTGCTGCAGCTGCTCCCGCTGCACACGCTGCCGCTGCCGCAGCTGCTGCTCCCGGCTGCCGCTGTCAGCTGCTGCCGCACCTGGCGCTGCCGCCGCTGGCGCGGCCTGTGCGCTGCTGGCGGCCTCCTCCTCCTGGCCCCAGGCAGCCTGCAGCTGCGGCTGCCGGGGACGCACGAAGAGGAGCCACGCAGCAAAGCAGGCCACCCGGAGCGTCCAGTTGAGCTGCTGCAAGGGGCACAGCAGGCATGGCAACAAATGCCTTGGGCAGCAGCCACATCCACTGCCGGCAGCTGGCGCCTGGGATCAGCCAAGCTTGGGTCGCCTGCTGGCCTGCCGTTCCACCATACGCACCAGCACAGCCCACCCACCCACCCAGCCCTGAACACACAAGCACCCATATACACACCTGGGAGTTGGTGCTGATGAGGCCCGCCCCCGCCAGCTGCAGCACCCAGGGCGTGGTGTGGCGCAGGCGGGTGGAGTGCCAAGCGCGGTACCGCTGGCGGCGTACTGCCAGCCCCGCCGCCAGTGTGCCGATGCACATGAGGAACCTGCGGTACATGCATGATAGGGCACATCGAACATGGCACAGCATGGTGCAGCGTGGCTCAGCGTGGCTCAGCATGGCACAGAGCCACGGCGCCAGCGGAGGCAGCGGCTCGGCAGGCGCCGCGGGGCAGGCGGCGCAGCAGGCGCGTGTGCCCTGCGCACCCAAACACTCCCGCCACAATCAAGATGACCTTCTGCAGCGCCTCCCTGCACGCACACACAGCACAGAGGAGGGTCGTGTTGGAGCGACATGGAGCGACGCGGGCAGTGCCGCCTCAATCGCCATCCACCACCCCTGGTGCACGGCATGCCCCGTCACCTCCCGCAGGGCACTCCCCGCCGAAACCCGCTGCGGCTCTGCTCCACATGCCAGCCGCTGCACCCCACGTCGACACAAAGCACCCACGCACACGCACACACACACGCACGCATCCTCCCGGCTTGCCTGGACTCTGCTGCGTGCGGCCCCTCGATGCCCAGGCTGACCACCGTGAGCACGGCGGCGATGAACAAGCCCGACACCGCCAGCTTGAAGATGCAGGAGAAGGCGGAAAGGACGGGGCCCAGCAGGCAGTACAGCCGGATCAGGCGCTCCCCCAGCGGGCTGCGTACCGCCCAGGGCCCCAGCAGCAGCAGCGCGGTGCCGGCGCCGGCGCTGGCCGCCAGGGCGGGCGCAAAAGCTGGGGACACGGGGAGGGTGCAGGGCTCTGGGGCCGCTGGCTCCCCTAGCTGCCCCGGCTGCACGATGATAAGCGTGCTGTCGCCCACCGCCGGCACGGTGGCATTGCAGCTGCTGCCCGGCGCCGCCGATGGTGGCGGGGGTGGGGCGCCCCCGGCGCTGCCGGCGCCTTCGTGGCCACGGCAGTGTTTGGAGAGGTGGGAGAGGCGGCGCCGGCTGCGCTGGCGTGTGCCAGACGACCGGCGGCGGACGTGGCCCGCCGCCTCCTCCTCCTCCACCACCACCTGGGGCGGTCCGGGGGGGGCGGGCGGTGGAGGG